CAAATCTGTGCGACCAGCCGAGACACCCTCGACTTGGGAGCGGTGCATCAAGCAAACACAAAATTTGCCGGTGCGATGAGATGCATTCAGAATTCACACATCACACAGCTTCGGACCCGGCGGCAAGAGCGGAGTTCTCAACCCAAGTTGCGAAACGTTCTCAAGGAGCCCGTTGCGATGTGAACGTCGGCAAGAGGGCTGGCTTCGCCACGCGTGCCCGACCCCGGGACGGACCAGCTGGCCAGCCAAGTCAAGTCGAGGAGCGAGCGTATTTCCCCTGCACATGTCAGCACTCTGAGCGCCCCCGTGTAGAAGCTGCGAGAAAGTCATCGAACAGTCGTGACTGCCTGCTGCGCACATTCACATTCCTGTAGGAAAGGTACTCGAGCTCGCTTCCTTGGCCAAACAAAACGAGGTGCATTTGTGCTTGGCCCATCCGGCGGCACAAGCCCAGGATGCGCGACGGCGAGATTGCCGAGTTGCAGCCGTGGTCCGATGTCTGCGGCCAGAGCTCGGGAACGAGTGCCAGTCTGAGTGGTGGTGCTCGATTGGAGATGCGATTACGAGTGGAGAGGCGTAAGGCCATCGAGTCTTGAGTCGTGCATGGAGCGCAAACGAAGCTTCGAGGAACTTCAATGTGTGACAGAAAGGCGCTCGTGTACATAGCGCATACAGCAGCGTGAAATGGATGCCCCCTGTTTCAAATGTCCAAAAATGGCAGCCTGCAGCAGAATTAAAGCTCGATCGTCCTGTGCCTACACACGCGTAGGCCATGCAGCTGATGCGCCTGCGCTGCTGTGGGCTGCTTTGCGCACGACATCTCGCGGCGTTCAAGAGAAGAATTCGTGATTGACCTGCTGCGGATGACTTGCATGAGCATCTATATATACAGTATATAGCGACGCACGACCTTCAGACGCGCGACCGGGCGTCTTGCGTTTCAAACCATGAATCCTCAACGTTGCGAACCGAATGGGGGTGGGTCCCTTAACTGTGATCTGAGATCGAGCCCGTCAAGGAGAGCATATACCAAGGTGGGCTGCACACCTCACAAATCCACGATCGACTTTTGACAGCATCAGCATGCAAAGAGCTGCGACCTGCCGATCATTGAACACGCGGATGCAGCACTGTGACTACATACAATACCCAGCTCCTCTAGCGCTTCACTTGTCGTCTTCGCATGTGAGCCGAGCATGGTCCCTTGAAATTCTCATTCTCGCTATAGGCGGCAGCCTGCACGCTTGCTGTCCCTGAACCAGGCAGGTTAGAGTCGCGAATCACGAGTCCTGCAGAAATCGGCCCTCACTCGGAAAGGTCGGTTGCGCGCCAGATCGTGAAAGAGGATGGATGAGGGCAAAATCGCATCACGCCAAGGCGAGGCGGGGACGATCGACGCTTTCTCGATCTTTCGACTCGGTGGTCGGGTCTCGCTCCTTCGTGCACGCCTACTCACGTGACTACTACTACTCTAGAATTTTCTGGTAGTCACGTGCAGCACTCCAGAAGGACGCGTCTCATCAGGCGTTCCCGCACGAGCTTCTGAAGCTCTGGCATGAGCACCTTTTTGTGTGTGGAGTGATGCGCGTCGTCACCTTCATTTTTGCCCATGGGTTGCGCGGCGCGGTACACCCACCAAGACTGTCACTCGCCTCTTGATATGTCTCGATCATCTGGTCTGTATAGTCTTCCAATAAAGCAACAATCCATTCGACCTGGGCAGATGCAATGACAAGATGTCGACAGCAACGCATAGCCCGCTCGTTCACGACGGCTCTGTCAGAGATGAGAGCGACGACATGATCGTGGACCCGTCGAGTCAGCCCGCCTGGAGCAGCGAGCAACCATCTGCGCCCAATGTGATCGAGATCCTCAAGGCTTTCTTTGCAGCGCAAGAGCAGCGCCGATCTCACTGGGCAGAGTTCGATGATGCATTGGCATCCATCAACTCCCCTGCGGATGCGGCGTCAAACAGTGCTCGATCCGGCCAGCATCACTCTTCCTCTGCCCAGGCCGACGCACACGACTCGCCCGCAACCTCAGCAAGAGGCTGTCAAGCATGCAGTGCCCAGTCTCTTTCATCGCTCCCGCTCACAGAGACAGACCTGCCAAGAATCCTATCCCTCGTCACTGCCGGCCTTCTCGACGCCTCTCATCGCGTTCGCACGTGCTCTACGGAATTGCGCGGCAGGCAAGAAGAGGACCTCGCAACTTCAGTGGATCGCGTTCAGGATCTGGAGAACGATGTGCTAAGGAGCGTCGTGCGAATCGAGACTATCAGAAGGGACGGCCAGAGGGATCACCATGACGAAGTGCAACAATGCTCAGACAGGATCCGCTCATGCAGAGAGGAGATTCAGGAGGCATGTGCAGAGATACAGGCCGAGCTGGCCGAGCGGACACTCGAGACGGCAGAATAGATGGAGAGCATATGTGATTGCTCTAATGAGCTGTAAGCGAGCGACGCGCTCAGGCTTCGTTGAGAAGCGAGGCTGCGACGGACGAGATAGAGGGAAGACAAAGGCAAGATGCGAAGCCAGGTGTATGCTGTTGAAAGACGGTGACGTTGGTTTGCTGCTGGTGTACATCTTGTTGTGGTGTGGAACATTGATCATCAAGGCGAAATAGTGAGACCGACCGCGCATGCGCCCGTAAGCATGCCCGGTGGCTGGACGGAAAGGGACAAGAAAGGGACAAGAAAGAGACAGGAGGCGAGCCCTCTATTTCTTCTTACTTTCCTCAAACGCATAGTCGGCCACATCACCGCATTCACAAATGAGGTTCATATCGCCGTGGCTGCAGAGGAGTACTCTGTCAGCTGAGATGGCCACTCGTGATGCTTCGATCTTCGACTGCTCATCCTACTCACGCGTCATCAAGGCGGCCAACGGAGGGCCAGAACTTTCTCTCGCGAGTTGCTTGCGAAGGGTACACCGCCAGCTGACGAGAATAAGGCCTATCCCACTCTCCATCGCTCAAGCACTCGACTGGATGAGGGGCATTCTTAAGAGAGTTGTTGGTCGGATCATCGCCTTGCTTTCCGTCTGCAATGTCTTGGATCTCGCCGCGAATGGAGATCATGGCGTCGCAGAATCTGTCCAGCTCGGCAAGCGACTCTGACTCTGTTGGCTCGATCTACAAACCGACCAGAGAACGTCAGCCATAGTGTTCTGGCCACAGATAGGCCAGCTGTATGCGTCTCACCAGAAGACCAGTGCTAATGGGCCACGAGCAAGTTGGAGAATGAAACTAAGGCAGAAGGACGTTGGAAATCAGATTCCGGGCAAACGGTGTGATGCCGACATCTCGATACTCACGCCGTAATCATGCAGACGTTTGGCAACGTCGCTGACTGTAATCTTGTGCGCTCCAAACTCGGCAAGGTCGAGCAAGAATTCGTGAGCGCAACGGCCGTTTCCATTGACATATCGAAGCTTGTAGTGTGGTGCGAGGCGCTTTGCCATGTAGTTCGCAGACAGCAAAGAGACCGTGGAGCTCTTGCGCAAGCCTTGCCAGCCCAACATCTTTATATAAGCCCAAGCAATGGTCAAGATGCTCGCGCTGCCCCATGGCGCAGCAGAGATCGCTTCGATTGCCTTCTCTCCTCCAGCTCGACTGTCTAGAGGGTGACCGGGGAGGTATGGCGCCAAGTGAGCAGCACAACCAATAGGTCCAACGCCTGGCCCACCGCCACCGTGAGGAATAGAAAAGGTCTTGTGCAAGTTGAGATGGGTGACGTCAGCACCGATCACACCTGGGCTTGTCAGTCCGACCTGAGCTTGCATGTTTGCGCCGTCCATGTAGACCTGACCACCGTTCGCTGGACCGAGGCGGAGATCGTCCCTAGTCAGCTTTGCTACAGTCAGATCATGCGCTCGCATTGACTCACCATGAATGAGCTCGCACGCCTCCCGCACACCCTCTTCGTACACTCCATGGGTGCTCGGATAAGTTACCATGAATGCAGCTAGAGAATCTTTGTACTTCTCCGCTTTCTCGCGCAGATCTGCAAGATCGAGGTTGCCGTCCGCCTGGCTCTTGACAGCAACAACTCGCATTCCAGCCATGACAGCACTAGCGGGATTCGTTCCGTGCGCAGAGGTGGGGACGAGACAGATGTCCCTGTGACCCTGGCCATTGGCGTCGAGATACGCTCTGATGACACTGAGGCCTGCAAACTCCCCTTGAGCGCCCGAATTGGGTTGCAGCGACACTGCAGGGAAGCCAGTGATCTTGCAAAGGTCGGACTCGAGCTCAGCGATAAGCTCGGCATATCCCTTTGTCTGCTCGGCCGGTGCGAATGGGTGTATGCCGTTGTATCGAGGGTCGGAAAGCAGGCTCATACTGGTGGTCGAGTTGAGCTTCATGGTGCAGGAGCCGAGTGGGATCATCCCATGTACTAGCGAAAAGTCCTTTGACTGCAGGTGATGGATGTACCTCAGCAGGTCTGTCTCGCTCCGATGGGCATTGAAGACGGGCTGTGTCAGGAAGTCGGACTCTCGAGCGAAGGGGCCCTGCTGCCCTTGTGCGTTGCCGATCGAAAGCGTCTCGAGCGCGGCGGCATCGAGGCCCGCGCCACTGGCGAGGCGGAGCAAATCCTCGTGCCTGAGCTCCGGCTTGCCAGCTGCTCGCGCGAACGCATTGATGACGTTCAGCAGCTCCTCGAACGTGACGGTCTCATCAAGGGTCACGCCGACTCTTGTAACTGAATCAGCTCTGACGTTGAGGCGAGCTGCCGCAGCCTCGCTGTGCACCTTGGCTGCTGGAACGCTGATTGGAAGTTCGATGGTGAGAGTGTCGAAAAAAGCTTCACCGGCATTGTCAGCCGGCAGACCAAGATCAGAGAGCGCGAGCGCCAAAAGACGGGTCTGCGCACTGAGTGAGGGAGAGAGAAGGGTAGCAGCATCGGTCAGTCATCCGCTGCGCAAGTCGATTCTCGATGGCGAGCCTGATCTCCCTTTTGCAGGACGCGAGCAGCGGGATCGAATCAATCCACTCACTGCACCTTGGCTGCGATCTTTCTGAGCCCTTTGGGGCCGTGGTAGCAAGCATACATGGCGGCCATGTTGGCCAGCAGCGCTTGCGCTGTGCACACATTTGACGTGTAGCGGGAGCGCTGCTCGGCCGTCGTGTAGTGTTGTTTTGCCTTGACATCCTGGGAGGCTGCTGCGTTGGCCGAAGTGGTCGCGAATTTGCGAAGCGACGTTGCAACAGCCTTTGGCGCCGATACGCTGGCTTGCGCCAAACGCTGACTCCGGGGCCCGGCCAGTCGTACGAAGGACATTGCTGCCGAGAGCGCTCGATAGTGTCGCAAGGCGATTGTCACAGTTGGCTAACGCTGGGGGTGCCGAGCGAAGGCGGAGATGACGAGAGTCACAATCACGCAGCTGAATCCAAAGCTGCTAACTCGAGGAAGTGCTGGTTCTGTAGGTGATGAGGAGGTGAGCAAGACGGCGAAGGCAGAAGCTCTTTGCCTGACCAATCAAGAGACAGCTAATGATTGTGAGCTTGCGAAGAGGAGCTATCGGTACAAGTCGCGGTCGCCCTCATCCATCACGGTTGCTCTACTGTAGCTGTTTCACGCAAGCATGCAGCGGCGGCAACGTGAACGAATCTTTCGCTCGCGCGTCCCTACTGCATGCATGCTGCTGATGCGCGCACCATCGCAGCCCACACAACCGAAGAACGAGAGCAGCAGGCCTGCTGTGCACGTAAGGTACGAGTCACATCTTCAGACCACTCAATCCAGCAAAGATCGTATCGGTTCGACAGCGACGATGCGCCAAATTGCTCGGGGACATCTCCGCGGTCGCGACGCGTGTAAAGCCGGCTTCTTCCGCGCTGCCACCGTGCGCTCGCTCGCTGAATCGATTCAGATTGCGACCCGTGACCCGGCTCGGCCTCTTCAGCAATCGTGAATCGTGAATAGACGGGCCTCTTTCATTTTGTGCGGCGCGGTCAAACGCTATAGCAGCGCGCGAAGATTTCTATGCAGCCAGCAATCCCATTCACCACGATTTGTAATCTAAGTTGCACTCACTGACTCTTGACTCAAACTCTTGACACGGCTCGCGACTTGATCATACATTTTGATCGAGTCTGGTCCTCGATCCTCCCACCAAGACGACACGTTGCTATCGGAGATCTGTATACCTCCTTGAATAGTCGCGCTATTCAAGACCGACTCAGACTGCTCACATCAGCAACATCCTCGACCAGCAAGGCTCCAGGTGAAGCAACCTCGCTCCTTGCGCGAGGTCAACATGAGTCTGCGTCAATCGTTCGTCGCAGCTGTATCTCTGCGCACCACCGCACCGGCACGGAGGGCTTTCATCAGAACAGCTTCGGCGTTGCCTGCAGCAAGCCCTTCAGCCACTCCCTCATCTACATCTCAGGCTCCCTCCTCGCGGGCACTGGCATCACAGGCTCAGCCATTGCCGCTTGGTAGTGTCTCCGAGAGCGTCTTCGCTCCACTGGATGACTTTTCTCCTCGGCACATTGGTCCTCGCGATGAAGACATCCAGAAGATGCTCGCCGAGTTGGGCTACAAGTCATTGGACGATTTCATTGCGGACGCTGTGCCAAAAGAAATCAGGCTCGACGCCGACGGATCAAAGACGACGGAGAGCTCGAGCTCAGCAAGCGCTACTCCTATTATCGCTCTGAGTGAGAGCGAGCTGGCAAGAAGAGGTCTGGAGATTGCCGAGAAGAATGCCAACTTCAAGAGCCTCATCGGTCTGGGATACCACAACACCAATGTCCCTCCCGTAATCCTGCGCAATGTGAGTAAGCGTCACACGTGCTGGCACTGGCAGCAGAAAGATGCAGAAGGGGGTCTTGAGGCTCAATGTCCCTGCCCAACTGTCTGCCAACTGTCTAGGTGCTCGAGAATCCCGCCTGGTACACGAGCTACACGCCGTATCAACCGGAGATCGCTCAAGGTAGGTGCTCAGACATTCCTGCACCTGTTAGCCAGACGCGCAGTTCTGACATACAACTTCCTCTCCTCAGGTCGACTGGAATCCCTCCTCAATTATCAAACAATGATCAAGTCTTTGACTGGCCTCGACATCTCCAATGCGTCCTTGCTGGACGAGGGAACGGCTGCTGCCGAAGCAATGACGCTGTCGTACGGTCACGGCAAGTCCAAGAGGAAGACTTTCCTGGTGGATGAGCGCGTGCTTCCGCAGACAATTTCCGTCCTTCGCCAGCGCGCAAGAGGCTTCGAGATCAACGTGGAGGTGGTGAATCTGTCACAGGGCTTGCCAGAGTCCCACAAGACATCCAAGGATGTCATGGGCGTCTTGGTACAGTATCCTGACATCGACGGGCGTCTGAAGGACTGGTCATCCTTGGCAGAAGAGACGCACAAGGCGGGTGGTTTAGTGGTCTGTGCTGCTGATCTGCTGGCTCTGACGATGGTCAAGCCGCCTGGAGAATGGGGCGCAGATATTGCTGTCGGCTCTTCGGCACGATTCGGAGTGCCCCCGGGCTTTGGCGGCCCACACGCTGCTTTCTTTGCAGTCCGAGACAAGCTCACGCGCAAGATGCCCGGAAGACTGATCGGAGTCAGCAAAGATGCTCGAGGAAGCAAGGCATATCGCCTCGCCCTCCAGACCAGGGAGCAGCACATTCGACGTGCGCAGTAGGCCCTCTCTCGCGCTTCATCAACACCTCCGTCCGGAAACCTAATTGCTGCCCAGTCTGTCCTCAACGGGCAAGTGGGTTGGCAATCCCTCCTCTCAGCAGCCATTCTCGCCCGCGTTGTGCCGAGCCACGACCGTCGGCCCCACATGCCTGCCTCATCGCTACAATACTCTGACTGCTACTTCTCATGCACTCAACTGTCACGCTGGTCACGTTCCCATCAATGTATGCTGTTGTCATTTCTTTCAGACAGGTGGCTCGGCAGCGCTGTCTCGATCATCCGGCACAAGCTCTGCCTTTGGCAGGCATGCACCACGCTGAGGGTGCTGAAGAAGCCAGATCGCTGACAGCCTTCGACGCAGGGTCTGCCTGCTCAAGTTCTACCGATAAGGTTGAGGTACAGTAAGACAAGTCACGAGCAACGAGATGCAGACAGCGGTGCAAGCCGCGTAAACTTGGAAATTGCCAGAATAGGCAAGCGCGGTGTGCACGAGGAGATGCTGCCCCTTCCTTAGCGCGCCGCCCGACATCGTCTCCATCACGTCACTGTACTAGTCTAGTAGTAGTAGACTACGACTCTTGACTACTACTACATACTATTGGTCCGGCATTCATAGCTGCATCACTGCACCATCATCACTCACAATTTTACTTTAAGTTGCGCCGGCAAGGTTGGATGATAAGTACGAATCGGCACCGTCATCGGCGCGGTATGAGGCTCTTTAACTTGCTCGCTGGAAATCCCTCATCGACGCGCAAGGGCTCGTCTACAGGGTCATTGAGAGACCTTGGGCGGCCGGGGAAATGAAAACACAATGAGGAAAGCCATCGCTTCCAGTGCTGCTTTCATTTTGGGGCGGCACGTGTAGGACAAGGGGAGAGTCAGCTGACTTTGTGAGCTCGCGATCCTCCAATCTAGACTACAGCGACTACACGCTTCAGAGCTCATGACGCTCGCAGTCATATCGGCCTGTCCAGTCTGCGATACTTAGCGCGGTTTCATCGGGGGGAAGCCCGTTGTCTCAGATCGGGCTCTGCGCGCGCTTGACACTATATCAATCCGACACTCGGTTGCTTGTGTGGCAGCAGTCTCCAAGGCGAATGGTAGATGTTGAGATGGAGAAGGTGTTCAGAAATCCACCATGCAACTCTATCTCTAGCGCACCGAGGCGTGCGCCTATCCTCTGACTGATCATAGCTTTCCGAACTCCACGCAAAATGATGAGAATAACGCTTGAACGGATGGTTGCTTGTGTATCGGCGGGTCGGATTCTCGCAAGCAGCGCTATAGCGCTCGCACTCGCTTTCGCACGCTGCGAGCGAGGAACCACAAGCAGGCTCAAGACCCTCATCCGGCTGCGTTCATCTGATCAGCATGCTTTCCACGTGCGTTCCGGAGTTGCTGGGGCAGCAGACGACGTGCCCGTTCCACGTAAAGATGGTTGGCATCGCCCATAGCATTTTGGTCATGAGGGTATCTGCATGAGGACCAGGATGAAGATGATCAGAGCTAGGACATACGTGTGATGCCTGCTTCTGAAACGCTAAGTTGCCGATAATTGTCTCGGCAACAACCAGTCCTGAAATAAGGTTGGACGGTGGTTCATCATGGTCTCACCTTCGTCGCGACTAGCGTGAAATTTATGACCTCCGCGGCCAACACAAGCTGCTGTTGCTCACACGCGCCCTGCTGTCAGTCAGGCGAGGCTGAAGGTGGGCGTGGCGTGCATACCGTGCAGCAGCAGTGTGAGTCATGGCGGGCTGTATGCATCACGAGCAGCACAACCAGCACTACTGAGCTCTGACTCACCACTCACTCAAACCCATGACGATGCATGCTGATCGATCGAGGCCCAATCTTCTCGACTTTTTTTTGGGAGAAGACACAAAGACTCGATGACGGGCCAACGTCGCGTTGCTGCACCATCAGCTGTCCGGGCGCTAAGAAGCTCACAAATGACGACTGCGTGTGACTGACAGGCCATCTGACCACCATCAGCATCGCGTCTGCTTTTCAGCGAGCAGAGCAACACCTGCTCCGATCTTGTCTCTGCTCAGCACGACAACGCACAACAAGACGACCCATCGTAGAGACTTTCACAGCAGCAGAGCACTCATAATCAACCCATATCAAGGAAAAAGGACATCATCCCACCCGAGCTCTCCGAGGCTACACAGCCACTGGCCCCTCAGCATCACCCTTGGAGAAGCGAGAGGCACCTTCGACTGCGCTAGTCCGCGACGTACTACCCACAGCTCGACTCAATCCCCGCTGGACAGCAGTGCACGAGCCCGTCTCTCTTTGTATCGCTCGCTATAGCGTGGCCAAGTCGCGCCGGTCGGGACGCTGTGGCGCAGAGACAGCAGCCCACTCTGACTGCGACGGGATCGGCGGGCCTATAGAGCAACCTCAACGCCTGGTTTCTCCGCTGCTCAGTCGAGCGCGCCACCCACCTTTTTCTCGTCGAGTCAAGCTGTGGCGAGCCCTGTGCCAGCTGAGAGCGAGCTTCACAGGGGAGCAGAGCCGAAACCGAGTCGATTGATGAGCATCTCGCCTCCTGTCAAACCTATAGTGATCCCGGTCTCCAGAAGCGACGCGGCTTCACACGAATCAAAGAGCAGTATCCCACGGCGCATCAATGGCTGCTGTGGCCTAAGCGCAGAGTGACTCGGTGTTCCAGTCCTTGTGTCACGTTCTTAGCGTTAGATTGCTTAGGTGAGTTCAGGTTCAGGTTTAGCGCTAGACAAGACTCTCTCCGTCCCGACACGGAGAACTGCCCAGCTTGCTGCTTGGAGTGAGGAGCGCAAAAAAGAAGCCGGTGGGAAGGCCCCCCAAGCTTTGAGCCCTTGCTAGCGTGTGCGTGCCCGCTCAGCATCCATCCATCGTCTTGTGTGGTTGCAACCTTGCTGGCTCAGCGGGGAGATTCTGCTCTGTCGTTGATGCTCCTCAGCGGTCCTCTCTGGCTCTTGCCAGACTGAACTCCCAAAGCTGGCTTTCCCTAAACAAATGTCGCGCTTACGTTTGCGGGCCTTGGTGGACCAGTGTTCATGCTAGTCCAGGATGGGAACAGACGGGTCGAGGTGGTGTATATGCTGTCGCTGAGTGATGCGCGCACCCGTGACAGACCTCAGAGCAGCTGTTTGGATGCCGCATGCTTGTTTGCGACTCGTCATCCTCACTGACATCGGTTTCCCTCTGTCATCTATACCATGATCTCAGGCCTCCTACCCCATCTTTTGTCGAAGTAGAACAAAGCATACCAAATCCTACATCACGGGCCACGCATCCTAAAGTACGCGGCTCTGCGAATTGCCGTTACTTACGATGCCCGCGCACATCAGCGACACCTACTGCACCTGCTTGTACGTGGCTGCTGAGGGATTGCCACTCTGGCACCCGGGACGTGTTGACCTGGGTGACGTTGGATATGTGCGCGATGGACGATTTCATGTGAGTGCAAAGCTGTGCCTCACAACTGAAATGTTGTTGACATCCATATCCGCCCAACACGCAGAAACTCTACAATGTAGTCGATGGACCGTCTCTGGTGCGAAGTGAGGCGGCACGTCCGGACCTAGCAAGACGTACCCAATCAGGTTCCAGGAGTCCACCGGGGTCCCCAGGTGCTGAGCAGTCCGCTTGGACCGCAGTCCCGGCTTTTGCCACGATGGGCCCTCGCAACAGCTTCTCTGGGGAAAGGCGAGCCAGCGCGCCGCTTAATGTTCCCTCCTCGCCGTCGTCGTCGCCGAGATCGCGTCGCACCTCTCTGATGGGTGCGTTCAGAAGCGAGGAGGAGCCACAGCCACCTCTACCCATCTTTGTCGACGAAGCGGAAGAATCGGCTTTCGACATTGGGCCTAGAACTAGCGCCAATTTTAGAAGTCTAGGAGCTGGGGTCGGCGCTGAGGTGACGGGTACCGCTGGGGGGACTCTAAGCTTCGAAACGGTCAGTCGATCTGGGCCAACACGGCCTCGACGCGACAGTAATTGACTCTTCACCACGACCCACACAGTCTGGCGGAGACGGTGCCCTGCTCGTGTCGCGCGATCCTACCGTTCGAAACGAATTAGAGCACCTCGGCACCTTGAAGGGTATGTGTGTGGCCCATGCTTCCCAAAGCGAGAGACTTGTGCAATTGATGCTGCTTGCCGCGCCGTCCTTTAGCATATGTCAAACAGCACCGTCGATGGATAAGCTACCACTACGGACAGAGCGAAGACATGGAGGCAGACGTGAGTATCTTCGATACAGTTGTGCGTTGCTCGTGGTGCCTAACGCTCACTCATGGCCGCTTCTCATGCAGGAGCTTTGCCTCGTGTACTCAACTGACAGAACGGTAAGCCCACTGCGGTTATTGAATTGCGAACGAAATGTCCTGATCGCCTGCTTTCCTTCTTGACCGCAGTCTGATTGGGCCTGTGCCGTCCAGCTTGGCGCAGCTCAAGGCGCCAAAGTGGACTTCCACGTGTTTAGTGTTGGCACTGCTGGCGTATGGGGCGAGTGGCGCTCTACGTTATCTGCAAGCCAACGTGGTCCTCATCGAGGTGAGGAAGGCAGTTAGTCGCCACCGCTGAGCGCTTGGCTGACTGACTTTCACTTCACTTCTCTCTCAGATCCTTCACAGTACGAGAGAGCACGACTGGAGGCTGGCCTTGGCCAGAGCGGTACTGCTACTCCCGCGGAGTCTGCTCCACATGAGCGCGAGCCCACAGCGTCAAGTAGAATCGCGAATTGGCGGATGAGCGCTGCTGTAGAAGCTGGACCGGTTAACATTGAGGCAAGCACTGGGAGCGCTGAGGCGGCCAGCGCTCAGCCTGCCCAATCAACTGCTGGCGCCGGTCAATCGGTCGGTCCAAGCAATACTGCCGCCCTCATTTCCGAGGTTGGTCGCGTGCCTGCCTTTCCGGATTGGCAGTGGGCGCCCGGCAATCGTGAGTGCGCTTTGGCGCGGGCCGTGTGCCAGTGGGAAAGAGCGATTCGTGTGTGCTGATGTTCTTGCTGTTTTCACAGCGTTCCCGGCCGACCAAACAATCGTCATCAGGCGTATCACGGCGCGCTCCCGCCTGGGCCTTGGATTCTTGCCAATGCGCATGGCAGCCTCTGCAGGACCGAGACGTGATGGGCCTGGCGATCGTCGCTCTAGCGGCAGCACGAAAGTACCGACATCTACAGGCCCGTTGGACCTTCTTCATGAGTGGGTCTTCCACACGGAACTTCGTGCTCAAATTTCCATCGCGAGTGACTCAGACGTCGCGGAGGCGATCTCCTCATCGCCGATGCGCAGCATCACCGCAACCTCCAGTCCTGCTCAGCTCAAACGAGCTATCTGGTCCGGAGCAAGCTGCAGTCTGCGCGTAGAGTGCGACCAGGACGGCATCGCCGTGGTTTTGCCCCGCGGTGAAAAAGAAGGCCCACAAGTCACGGTGCTAGGTCAGCATAAGCAGAATTGTGGATCACCGAAACCCTCGCTGGGTCGCATCAGTCCGCCAAGCTCCTGTTTCCTTCGACCGCCCGCTGGCGTTCGCTCTCCTCTGTCCGAATCCAGAAAGTTCTCAGCATCTCTTGGTATGGCCCATGCGGTTGCAGCCGAGCAAGACGCTTGATCGAAGCATTCCAATGTAGGCTGGCCGCTACAGAAATCGCAATGTACGACTCAATGCAGACACGTCAAGCACTATACACCCATCATCATCTTACCTGGAACGATCCGTCCGGACTCGCCCGCGAGGCCTCGCAACGGCCGACTCCCACCAATTGTAAGCTCACCACGAGCAACTATGCCTAATGACGGCCACACAATGCACATCGTTCTATACGCGCTGGTTTTCTCCGGCTCCAACTAGATTGCCAGCGAGTCGGTTGGGATGCGATGCACGAAGACTGTGACGGGTGCTGATTCGATGCATGGGCATTTTCACGACGCTAGTCGAGAGACAGTGTACAGGAAGCGCAAGCCCGAGGCGCTGGTAGTGGTGTTGATGATGCATGAGTTTTCATGTGCGTGTGTCTAGGAACGGCGAGTCGGGTCAAAGAAGACCTGCCTCATCCTGGTTGCCGAAGGCTGCAATGCCAATTTAGCGGCGACCCGCACCAACGACAGTTCGGCCACCGCGGCGCTCGGGAGCTTGGAACTGTGTGACAGGTGCGGAAACACTGACGGGCAGAGAGTCGAGGCCAATGGATTTGAGCATCTCCTTGGTGTCGGGGTCGACCTCAAGACCGCCGGATGCGGTGGTGTCAAGGGCAGACACTTCGGGAACGTATTGATCCTGCATATTGGAGAGGAATGAGGTCAATTTCGCTCTGGTCTCTCTCGCTTTCTGATGCGGAGCTGCGGGGGTGTGGGATGTTCCTTGTTCAGGCTCGACTACTCACCTTGCGCTCACGCTCCTCCTCCTGCAGCTTGAAGCTGATACCGCGGACAGGTCCCTTCTGAATTCTCCTCATCAAGTGGGTGGTGAAACCGGCAATCTTGTTGCGGAGACGCTTGGAAGGCACGATGGCAACCTCATCAATGACGCGCTTGTTGGTGTGGAAGTCAACAGCGTTGAGACGAGGGCTAAGGGCGCGGCAAAGTTGGAGAGGTCAGAACTTCAACCTGTCTTCCTACAAGTACCAAATTGAGCCCTAATCTGAAGCGATTGATGCCTGTGTCGACGCTCCGCTTCCTGTGCACCTTCACACAAACATGCCTTTCACCCAAAGACGTCGTCGCCTGTCTGCATCCCGTCATGAAAGAGCACTCACTAGTAACGCTCAATGAGCACACGCGATGCGCGCTTAACGGTCTTCGTACGGACACGACCCTACAAGTGTAGATTCCAGCAATTTGAAAAGGGCCCCAATACCATCAAAGCGATTCCAAGCATCCAGCGAAGACAAAGTCCAGCACCATTCAGCATCAGCGATTCAGAATTCAAGCAAAAAGATTGACCAGCGAATAGTCAGTCGTCGATACAGTCTGGGCAGAACGCGGCACGGTTCGTGGAGATAATACGCACCATTTTGGCTGATCTTGAGGGTTGTTGAGGTGAGAGTGCGTTAAATCTTTGCGGATGGTGGAGAGGAATGTCAGACGGCGATGGAAGCCAACCCTCTCGATGGCTTGCCCGCCTGCGCTTGATGGCAGGTGCCGGTGCGCGAAGTCACAGCACGTGACGTTGCAGCTCGCGACGGGCACGCAGCTGCCGCGTGGCTCGGCCGAGCGAGCTGCGGCCTGCGCCTCTAGCCAAGGGACGCGGCAAGTCGAGATGAAAGCATGCATGCAGAGGAAGTCTTGATTTGGGGTTACGATTCAGGAGCCCAGCGAGCGCTTTAGCCTTCTTCCACTTCCACGCAAACCACTACAGCATCCGCTCACGACTCAACTCACTCTAATTTCCAGTAAGTATCTTTCCGTTAAAAGAAGGCCGCTCCTCCAAGGGCTTCGTCACTGCAATGCCACTTTCGCCAATGCCTTTGTACGCGCTTCGTGGAGGGTTCGGTCTTCCCTCCAGCTTGCACCAATGAAACCTTTCCCAGAGCTCCACCACCGCGTCCGCTGGCTGGGTTAACCCTGATGTTGTTCATCAAGTCGGTTTGGCAGGTGCATTCAACGGCTCTGCATCCAGAGATTGGCGGTGCAGGTGCTTTGCTCAGGAGACAGTCGAGCCGCTTTGCTCGGTATCTAATAGATGGACTGAGCAAGCAAAGCAGTGGTGGCCGGCGATGAAGGGGGCTGTATGGAGACTCTTTGGAGCGTCAGAGATCGGCGCATCGTTTTATTGCTGGAGCGGAACAGTAGGCTGACTGCTCAGCCTTTCTGTACCCGCCTGGCAGGATATCCCTCTCAAAGATCGCCCAAAATGGTCCGCATCTCAGTCCTGGTGAGTTCAGCAATCTGCGCCTAAATTCGACGCGAACTTGCGAAACTGACCCTCAACTATCACGTACAGAACGACGCGCTCAACAGCATTGTCAACGCAGAGCGCAAGGGAAAGCGCCAAGTGCTCCTCAGGCCGTCTTCCAAGGTCACCATCAAGTTCTTGAGCGTCATGCAACAACATGGTGAGCATACAATGCGGAGCACTCGACTTGGCGACGAGCACGGCTGTTCTCCTCAGCCTCGGGCTTATAACTGTTGGGCGATCGGCCGGGCCGCGATTCACACTCGCGTCTCGATTCTCCCCACCGGTGCTCATCTTTAAGAGCCCGACAGAGCAAAGCTTGCTCGAGCCCTTTGGGCCGGGCGCTTGCACTAGCGAGCTTCCATTCCATCCTCGAGTGGGCAGCTTGCCGGCACTCAGCTACATGCCCAGCCCAGTCGCTCTCGAATCGAAAGCTGACTGAAGATTCTTATTGTTCGTGTTTGCAGGCTACATCGGCGAGTTCGAGATTGTTGACGACCACAGATCAGGCAAGATTGTCGTGCAGCTCAACGGAAGAATCAACAAGGCTGGTGTCATCTCTCCCCGATTCAACGTGCCCCTCTCCAGGATTGAGGGCTACGCCTCCAACTTGCTCCCCAGCCGTTCCGTCGGACTTGTCATCCTCACCACTTCGGCTGGTATCATGGACCACCACGAGGCCAGGCGCAAGCACGTCGGTGGAAAGATTCTCGGGTATGTAGCATGCGTTTGTCCAGCAGACGTGAAAATGGGTCGTCGGGCTGACGATGGACTCGGCTACTCCAACTCTTTTGCAGATACGTCTACTAAGCGTCTCGATCTGTGCTGCTTATGCAAACCAGATTTTGGCGAGTCAAGCTGTTGTCCTAGCTCCGCACCGAGAAGTGTCAAGCCTCCCTGTACTACCTTCATGCATTACGCTACCACAAAACTATGCGCACAGCACAATGGCATCAATGGTCACCCCACTGCGTGTGGGTGGTTCGCGATCTGTGCTACATCTGCTCGTAAACTTCACCGCCAATGCTCGTCGGTAAGCGGTGAAGCCCATCGGTCTTTGTCTTTGCGGTCGTCATTTGTCAAGCTGCTCCTTCTTGCTTGTCAGGCCGTGAGGTAGATGGGGACTCGAAACCTCACACTGCCACGGTCCATGTACGGTCCCTCGCCGCGGGTCACATTCGTGATTTGACGGATCGACATGCATCAGCAGGCGCGTGAAATCTCGGAGCATGCATGGTCTGCGCGCATGCGCCCCTTACTCGATCACTGTTGTGGCCGACGCGGGCCAAGGAGCCGCGTGCATCAACCACCCACAGTGACATCTCTGTGCACTGTTTCTAACTCACGACACCCCGAGTAACACCTCTTGACTCCTATCGCCTAGCCTCAATTATTCCGTTCAGACCTCGTCTTCGACTGCTATAGTTCGAGTCATAGCATTGGTTTTGGCATTCACTTCAAATGTATGACGAAAGCACGCCGAACGTCATTTAGTCTAACACAGCCTCATTGCGACAGCCCTCTGTTCGTAGTTATCACGCCTCCCTCCACACATCCGGGTGTCCACTCTCCGCTGCACCACAATGCCCGAGCGAGCACCATCCATAGCACCCTCAACAATCTCCCGATCCGGCGTGAAGCTCAGCTCATCACCAACAGCTGCACAGGCCACACTTAGCCCCGCATCGCAAGTACCATCGACCTCCTACCTCTCTAGATCGGCAGAAAGCGCGACGCGCCGGTTGCAGAGGGTGGCGAGTGATGCCAGCTTCTCTATTCGCACTCCGCATCGCAAGCAAAGTCAGACGATCGAAGATTGCAAGCCGCCACGCGATGTACTTGCGGAAGCATTGAGCCCTGCTCAAAACTCGATGGATCCCACTATAGCGCAAGCGCCGGATCCAATCGCCTCCACACCCCCACACGAGCCACCAGCAGCTGCGCCAGAAGCACGATCCAGTGCATCTATCAAGCGTCCATTGACACCTCCAGCTGCTTCACTAGAGGCCTCGGCCAGAGCAGCAGCTCGTCGTCGAACATGGTGGGGCTTCGGACCTCTCGAGGCGGAGGCCGAGCCTCCAGATGCTCCAGACGTACAGAGTCTTTGCCCGCCTTCTACTGCGGAGGTTGGCCGAGACGCGGTGATGAGGGAGAGAGAGGAGCCACCTCCCCCGATGAATGATGCAGAGGCCAGATTTAGAGCGGAGCTGATGGCAGAGGCGCAGAGTGAGACTGCCTCCTCCTCTTTGCCAGTTTCGGCGGGCACGCAGTCGAAGCGCAGCAGCTGGTTTGGATGGGGGGTCGCTGCCCACACCGATCCTGAGGCGGACCAAGGTAGCCCTCCTTCTTCCGCTGAGCAATCAACACGGATCCAACAGAGTTCTCCGTCTGAAGAGAGGGCGTTACAGGCTCCAGAGCTTCGCAATGGGTCCACTTCGAGACGCACTGCTCGTGGTGGTCGCATCAGCGGCGTGGCCAGAGGTGCTGTAGCGCAAGCATCTCCACTTCGCCAGGGCTGGGGTGCGGACTCGGAAGCTTCTTTGCAAGGATTACAAGATCCTACAACGAAGACTGCTGATCTCGAAGGCACGGCGGAGAACGCGCCCGTGCCTGAGCTAGACCGCGAAGTTGCGGGGACGGTGCCACTTCAAAACCCTGCTGCCTCAGCCGGCAGTGGCTGGGGATGGCCTCTCTGGAATCGTTCTGCACCAGAAGCCAATGACACAGCGCAGCTCTCACTTGAAGCGCTACGTTTGCAAGGCGAGACGCCAGCAACACAGGGTGCGGCTGAGCATTCCTCTGCTGGTGACGGCACAATAGCAGCGCCCGCCTCATACTACGACACTACCGTCGGTCTCATCTCTCGATGGATGCCCGGATGGCCGAGAATCCCTGAGCCGTCAGATACGGCGGACATCAGCGCTTTAGACACCGCGCAGGTAAAGCAACCTCCGCCCGCTCTGACACCCGCCGAGCAGGTCAAAGCAGAAGCATTGGCTCGCCCTGCTCATGCGCCTATCCAGACACCAGAGCTCGAAGCCCGGAAAGCTGTTCTGAACAGCGCAACTAAGAGTGGATGGATATCGTACTTCAGCTCTCGAAGCGCACACACTGCTAGTCATCGTGTTGGCGACGCGCCTGACGGCCCTGAGGTGATGGAAATTGATTTCGAGGGATCTAACGAAGATGGCACTCCGGCCAATGCAGCTGGCTTGCGCCCTGCTAGTCAAAACTTCGGCAGGCCACGGGGCGCCAGCGGACTTGCTCCTCCGGGCAATGGCGACGGGGACGGTGGAGCCGGGCGCAAGAAGAAAGGCAAGCTCGACAACGCCACGCCCACGAACGGCGCGCCGACGTCCTCAAGGTTACAGAGTGGCCCTCCTGGGCTGGCGCACAAGCTTTCGAGAGGCTCTCTCAAAGGGTCTGAGCCATCTCGCAGCTCGATTGCTGGTAAAGGGCCCACGGCTGGAGGGAAGGCTGGAGAGACGCCTGTCGAAGGTAGCCTCCAGGAAGGTCCTCAACCTGATCCCGCTCCTCCAGCGAGCCGACCTCTGACGCCACTCACTCGAGGGGGCCGAGGAACAGGTGGGCCATCGGCTCCTGGCGAGTCGAGTTCGGGAAAACCTCCCAGCATAAGTCCACCTCGAGCCAATCTTATCTTGCCTTCCTTCGAGGACACCTTCGATCGGCCTCCTCGCTCACATGCGCCTCCTGGAGGACTTGTAGAGCGGACTTTGAGTGCAGTGACAGCTTGGGTTGGGGGCAGAGAAAGGAAGTTCTCGACCTCGTCCAGCAAATTGCGTCGGAGCTCGTCGATCATGGAAGCTGGACCTGCTGCAGTAGCTCGACGAGAAGCTGCAGAGTCTGAGAACAGGCTACCACGGACATGGGCAGTCATGGGCCTCAAGGAGCGAGCGAAGTCACGAGGGTGCAAAGAAATGGACAAAGTGGTCGTGATTGGAATTCATGGTTGGTTCTCGGTAGGACCGCTTGCGAAGTGGTTCGGCGAGCCTACTGGCACCAGTACCAAGCTAGCTACGATGATGGCCGACTCCGTCAAGCGGCACTATGAGGGGGCAGGCTTGGAGCCACCCAGCACAGAGCACGGGCGTTTGACGGTCATTCCGCTTCAAGGCGACGGGAAGGTGGCTGATAGAATCGACAAGCTGTATGCCGCGCTCCTCGCGCAGCAGCAATGGGTGCAAGCAGTGAAGGACGCAGATGTGCTGTTTATAGCTGCGCACAGTCAAGGCTGCGTGGTCGCAACGCATCTTCTGGCGCGCCTGCTTGAGCAGGGAACCGTCCAGCCTAACCGCACAAGGACTGCGCTGCTCGCCATTGCCGGCATCAACCATGGTCCCTTCAACAGCTTGCGCTCAGGCGTCAGCAACTACTACTTGAACGCGTTCGAAACGCCGGCTGCCAAGGAGCTGTTTGAGTATCAGTCCAGCAGCAGCACCTGCTCGCGCCAATACTCTTCGGCTCAGCGTATTGTTTTGGACAAGGGCGTCAAGGTGGCTTATGTCGCCTCAGTGGATGACCAAGTCGTACCGTTGTACTCTGCACTCAACTCCTCCACAAGTCATCCTAGCATCGTGCGCGCTCTGTACGTGGATAGCCGAGCATTCCCTCGCGTCGACTTTGTAAGTCGTCTCGCTTTCACCATCATCTGCGCATGTCACTTTCTGACCGCACGCTCTCTCAATCGACCCGGCCACAGTTGACGAACCTCTTGGCTTTCTGCGTTGGCGTGCGGAACGCGGGCTTGCCTGATCACGGACTCCTCTCTCTCCTGTCTGCTTCGGTAGCGGGCTCACTCTACGCTGGGGAAGGCCATAGCAAGTGCTATGAAGAGCCATTAACCTACGATTTTGCTGCTCGTTATCTTTTAGGTGAGCGAATCAAAAATTGCTTCTCCCTCCTTTCGATTGTTGCTCACATTACACTTACTGCATTTGCGCTCGACAGAAACTACATCACCGTTGCGCCCTCCGACATTACTAGTGGGCGAAAGCGCGCCTCCAGCGCCCATTTTCGAAACATTCGAGCCACAAAGGTGGAACCCCTACTCGCTTCCCTGGGCGTTGCGCGGGATCTTGGAGGATGTGGCAGTCCGAGAGCTTTATTCCTCCGATATTGCCAAGCTGCTCAGCGACTATGCGCGTTGGTCGCCCAGCACCAAAGTGCTGAAGGATGTCCAGTGGCGATTGGAACCCATGCGCCTTATTCCAAGACCACCCGAAGCTCAAGAGGTTCCTCGATCTGCAGCAAGCTCAGTATCAAAGCTGTAAACACTTCGACGTGATGCAACCCATGCACACTGGCGTAAATGTGGTCAGAACGTGGCAATCCGAGGGCATGCACTAGGCTAGAGCATGATTGCTTGACGACCGTCTATGAGAGGCAGCGAGCGCGAGGCGCCTTGATCGGCTTCTGCCTGTCATCCTCGAGACGTGACCGGAGTAAGGTAAATGCATCGGCGAAAAGCCAGCAGCTCAAGACCTCGACTGGATGCTTGATGGATGTTTTGGTGGAAGTCGATTAGCGCACCACTGCTACACAATACCGGTTCCATGGGCTCTCTTCTGTGACTGCGGTCATGACCAAGCAGAAGTCTGCGAGGCAAGGAGGTGCTGGTCGACGTCAATGTCATTACAGATGGCCCATCCTTATCGCACAGCGATGAGAGGAAGCTGACCGCTGAGTAGACACTTGCCGCGAGGACCTCGGTGCTGTTCGGCTTGCACAATTAGCATATTGCCACCAGCATGGCACCTTTCACCGCGTACTCCAAAGCTTGGTGGGAGCTGCGCAGACAGGTCTGTAAATCGCGCTTTTTGGCGACGCACGGCGGAACAATCCTCGTGGTGCATGTATGGCACGTTTCATCTACGCCGGGCGCTCAATCGAGAACCTCCTCGATGACGCCCTGCTTCAATTTCCACTCTCATATGAGCGAGGTGGTCTCCAATCATGCGGCCACGACGACGCCAAATCAAGACTCATCGATGAGCGGATGACATCGTTGCTAAAAGCTGAATCAAATGTGAAACCAGCAGGCAACGAGTGTCGCAGAGTCCCGCTCGAGGTCCCACTCTGACTCGAGCTTCAGGTGCACACAGGGACAGCAGGACAAGGCAGGGAGTGAGGGATCCGCTCTTGACTTACGACTTGCGTGTGGCGCGTGCGCACGCGCGCTCGCACGTGCTCGCTCGTATCCACTCACAACACTTCATCGGAAATCACCAATCCCGAACATCGCGAGGATGTCAACGTATTTGAAAGTTCGGAGGCAGCTCACTCAATCAGAATCACGCCGATGGCGTGTTTGGGGCACCGCAACGGTACGTGTACCGCCGGCGTGACGTGCTTGGGGAAGCGCAACGGCCCACATGCCGCCCGGGGAGTCGCCCTCTCGCCCCGCTTCAAAAGTGACGGTCGCAATCAAGCAATCAATGATATCCTGATCCCCGCTCCTTTGCGGCGTCGATGTATCCTTCATCATCAATTTCAGGCGTCCGTGCAGCAATGAACGACCGCAATCAGGACTCGTCGATATCGCGCAATCTCTTTGGTCTGATAAGGGTCGCGTAGGCCTCGGATGGCGTCGCTCAAGCGCTCATCCTTACTCTTGCATGTCCGCCTGATGCTTGCAAGCACCAACCGTGCATGCGACAAGAGGAAGAGTCACCGGTGAGGAATGGATGCACATGTCAAGATAGCTTGATGGCAGACCTGCCCTGCGCAGCTTCTGCATGCTAGCACGACTTGATTGCCACACGGACAAATTCACACTCTCCATCGATAGCAGCTACAGCGATAGGCGAGTAGGCAAGCACGCTAGCATCTGATAAGCTTCCGAGTCAAATGAACATGCAGCAGGTTTTTGCTTATAAAGGGCGGAGGCATCCAGAGACTTGGACGTCAATTGGGTCGGTGCACGTAGCCCAAAGCTGCCCTGACTCGGACTCTGCTGCAAAGACCGCCGCCTGCTCCATTCAGCTTGACTGTCTACGAGTCTGGCACTCGAGGCACTCTGCATTCTCCACCTGCTGAGCTAGCAGTAATCTCCCCTTTCTGCAAGCGTTGCTATAGAGCGTTTCCGCTCATCGCGTCCTAGCTTTGGCCCAGCTAGGCGGCAAACCAACAAGGCGTCACGATCTGGATTCGTGGCTGTACCAACGAGCACGTCGCGGGTCTGGGCAACCTCGATCGAAAAGGTGCTCTCGCGAGACGCGACCCTGGCCAAACACTCATATGAACCTTCTCATCTGAGCCTTTTCATTCACGATTTAATCTGCTTCTGTCTGGACTGGTGCACATACCGACAACTACGTACATAGCGCTGCTGCTGCTGCTGGCGCTGCTGCTGAGGAGCATCTCCCCCAGGCTGTGCACGATACAATAGCTATACAGGGTAGAGTAGAGTCCCCCACGCCTATTCAAGGTCCATCAAATTCAGCCATTGCGCGGTCTCATCTCAGTCGGTCTCGCCGTTTGGCGTCACGCGGTCATCGATATATATACATTTACGTGGCGAGAGATTCAGAGTCAGAGTGAATCAACGCTCAAGCATAGATTAGAAGAGGGATGGATTAGACTCATCAAGACACTGGCTCACTACTACGTACTATACTCTCGACTGTGATGGAAATCGAGGGCGCACCACCTCAGACAACGTCTACATACTGATTCAAGATTGAGGGCGCCTCTGGTAGGGTCACTCGCCCAGTCTTGAGCGCGAGCAGTCCATCCAAGATCGTGAATCAAAGTCACGAGCAATTCTCTAACTCGTTGAATTCTGATTAGGTCACAACGATCAAGTTTCGACGAGTTCTATACCTGCTTAGAGAAAGAAAGCAGATCATTAGCTGCTGAAGGTCAAAGCATTTGCGAGTCGCGGCGGCCGGGACGATTTTGCATCACCCGTGGCCTGCCAGCAGCAGCAGCTGTGAACCACACGTTCGCGTTGCGTGCGTACAATTCCGCAGGCGCGCAAGCCCCAATCGACTTCTGTGGCGCCGTCAAGGCCCATCGCTTCGCGGTGCACTCAAGATCGAGTCACCACAATGCTCTCTGTTCAGCTCAACTCGACCCGCGCCTTACATGGCGTCCCTACCGGTCCACGGCATCCATCAGCATGCTATGAAAGCGCCTCACCGACAGATGCAGGTTGCACCAGCGGATCAAGTGAAGCGCAGCAGGTGCGCATTCCATCACGGCCGCGATCGGCAGTGCCGTACAGGCGGCCCTCGCAATTCAGCACCTGGGTAGAAGTACCTCATTGCTTGCTTGCATCGGCAGGCATCGATAGCCGGTAAGTTGATCAGGTTCAGCTTGCAGTCATGTCGGGAAAGCATGCATGGGGCTGTCGTAGCGTGATCACGCGCTTGAGCAGGCACTGATCCGAGCGTTTCGCGCCTGCTCCGCGCCTATCTGCTCATAGCCATTCGTCCAGAGGAGCCATGACGCCGCCTACCTGTGACGTTGAACGTCCATCACAAAGTCAAGGTCGCAGGCACTGTTTGCCAACAGAGCAAGGGCTAGACTATCGCTCGTCGCCATCACTGCACGCGGACGAGTCTAGCAGCTCCGCCTACAAGCGTAAACGTAGCAATTCTTCAGCTCAAATCGAGAAATCCGGTCAGACCAGGGCTTCTGGTAGCAATACGACACCAATCAGGCCAAGGCGAGGTACCAAGGAGCGCGGGGACGCGAAGATGCAAGAGGGTGCTGACGACCTTCAGAAACGATTGTCGAGCCCGTCTTTGAAAGATTATGCCCTTGCTGCTTCCGAGCTTCCTCAATCTAAAAGACCACGCTCTGAAACACACACGGCTGCTCATCGCCGATCCGAATCACTCGACAGCTACGTGGACAAGTATCTTGCAAGCACGGAAGGGAGCGGCGAGGAGAGGCAAGACTCCGCGCCGACAGTTCCTGCCATCACCACGTCTAGCTCGGCGTGCAACGATTTGGGCACCTTGCATAGCGGCCAGATCGATCCCAATGCGTCCGCCAACTCGTCGCCTTTGAAGGCTCTGATCGTCCTGCTGAAGGCGAGCTGGCAAGCAAAGTCCGCCGTTGCTGCCCCCGCCTCTCACACTGTAGAAGGTAAAAAGGCTACCGATGAGCGCTGGACAACAGTCTTATCGTCGACCTATCGAAGAGTCTTGACGTGGACATCACATGGACCAGCCGACCGTCGCAAGCTTGCACTCGAAGGAGCGCTCTCTGTGGCTGGTCCGCACATCATTCGCGAAGACGAGCAAGCCACTCTGGACGCGCTCTGGGATCTCTGCGATCACGACGACGAGAAGGTGAGGCCTCCGTCAGACCTTAAGTAGCATTACTAGACTGATTGGGCATCCACGTCCGTAAAGATTCGAGTGATCGGCTACGCGCTAGCTTCGCAGGTCTCACGAAAGTTCCCACGGTTTGCTGCTAGCTCGGTAGACATCCTCATTCAGTGCCTCACCGTCCCTGGATGCTCCAAAGAAGAGATTGCTTCCATTCATCATGGTATTGAACAGCACATGCGAGAATGGCCTCAGAGCACCTCAAAAGTGTTGCTGCAGAATATCGTCGAGAAGGAAGAGTGGTGGACGCACCTCCTCACCGCTATCGAGACAATCATTCAAGGCTCATGGAGAGTCCATACAGAAGCTGCGCTGCTCAATGCGATTCGCGCCGAGTGGGTGCCATTGAGCTCCAACGTTGTACTCTTCAAGCGCATCGCCGCGCTGCTGGCTCAATTTGAGTTTGCTCGAGCGGCCGACGAAGCGGCTGAAGCTTCGAGGACGGCAATTGTGCGATGGTTCAGTGAAATCCTCAGGGACGCTTTGGATGCTCATCTGTCGAGCAACGAGGTCGAAGAAGGCGAGGCAACCGAATTAACTTCAAGCTCAAAGGAATGTGCAACGCAAGTTGCACGGACCAGTACCTCCACTCACTTGCGGGTGGACGGCAAGAGCAATGGCATTATCAATGTAGATGCAAGCAGCCCATTCGAAGGGTTCCTCATGCTTATAAAGAGGCAGAAGACTGGATCGCTCTGGCAATTGTTGAGCGCGGTGCTCCCTGCCGATTCAGATGCCGCGGTGCTTCCGCTAGATCTTCTAGATGACTATGCTCTGCGCGAAATCCTGCGCGCTGTAGCACGTCAGCTGATAGACGGACGAGCAGACCCTATGATCAGAGGTCAGAGTCAAAATTTGCAGAAGTGGGTGTCCCTTGCTTTCACCGTGAGTACGGCCGTGAAGTAATCAAGCCTGAATTCGGCGCAAGGCTCACTTCAGAAGATCTGTTTCCGCAGCGGCTGTGCCCCCTGGACTTAAAGGGGCGGCCATCAGGGCCCCTTACACTTGTTGTGTACGAGGCGTTAATACTCACCATGACCGTGACACATCCAGTGGTGAGTCAAGCTTCGCAAATGCAATAGGCTGCAGGACCGACGACTCTGACATGGCCGCCACAGGAGGCTTCGTCTTCGGAAGTGTTGGTCGGCACTGTCGACGCTCGCAGTCGTCTTCAAGCGTTGTACAGACGTAGCCAAGCCAAACTCTCTGACCACGCACTGATGTACCCTGTCTCGGGAAGCGTGCACACCCGAATGCCCTCTCAAAACCCAGCGGCTTTCGTCCTGGCTGCTTGCAAAGTACGTCATGCTCTGGTGGCCCATCGTTCATGCTCGATTCCACTGATACCACATGATCGCTCGCATTTCCAGGAGTATCTCAAACCAGCACGTAATCGACGCGTTCCCACCTTTTGGCCTACCTGGATAAGGTCTAGGCCCTGGCCTGCCACTGCCACGCCCCAATCCGCACAATTCTCTACTTCTGCTACTCATCTGAGGCCGCCGGCGCAAAGTACCGTAAGCCGCGGAGTTGGAGCCTCACACCGACATGCATCTAGAAGCCTGTCGCCGCTGCCGCGCTGGAGTGTAGACCGCGACGAGCAGCACTACAAGTTCAGAGATGTCTTGCGCTCGGCTGACCGCGAGCGATCTCAGCGCCACAGCTCGAGCGGTGCTAGTCGACACGACGTCACGAGAATGGTGACGCCAAGTCCGACAACTCCAAGTGCATCGACAATCCCAAGACAGCCTCGACGAATGTCTACTCCTCGAAGAGGCTCGACAGAAGTCGGTAGTCCCGTATCGCCTTGGACAGCATCGTCCTACGACCCACCAGATGGCACGTCGGCGTTGGGCAACGCTTTCTCTCGCGCAGCACTAGATAGACAGATGCAGACCCCGCGTCTGCTACGACGCAAGCCTACCCCAGAGTCTCGTTCGACCGACTCTTACGCGGACGGGTCGCAAGAAGAAATCCGAGTTCGTGGATGCGCTGGATGGCGCTGATGAAGGTTCATTGGCCAGCATCACACGCTTTGAACGACCACACGAAGTCCCACCGCAATGCATGACAATTCCCGCGACTTTGCTCATTTCCGCCTCCAGATCATGATTTCTTCCTTGCCGTTTCGTTCTGGAGCGCTCTTACTCGGCGGCGCGTGGTGCTCGAGCTCGAAAGCTTTCGAAAGTAATGCTTTGTGCTGATCCGACGAGACGTTGTACTATTCGCAAAGGAGAGAAATGATCCGGATTCGAATGAGCGGCATCATGGAATGCAAATTGGTGTCACAGCCTCTGCTCACCGGCGGCCCGGCGTCACTCAAGGGCCCGATAGGATACACCAGGCAGAGCAACTTTCCCCCTGGCTTGATAAGTCGAGCATAGGTGTCTGCCCACTTCTGGTGCAGCGTGCTAGGCAGGGCGCAAAAGAAAGTGTAGTCGTATGCAAGATCAAAAGCTTTGATTGTGCCATCGTTCTCCTCTTCTGAGTCGGCTTGCGTGGGCTCAAGACTGAACCAGTCTGCTGCCCTTACGGACATTTGACTCGAGGCTGGAGTTGATGACTGGCTATCCAGCCATTGCTGAGCCGCTTCGACTGCCTTTGGACTGATATCCACGCCGACGGTGTGCAAGCCTCTGGATGCCAAGAGGGCCACGTCGTAGCCTCTGCCCATTCCAGGCACGACAGCTCGGCCAGAAGTGGGGAGCAGCTCAGACGTCTTTGCCTCCGAAAGCGTAGAGACCAGCGCTGCTTGAGCTTGACCCTTGTCCCACGGCGTCAAGCCGGCTTGCCATGCTGAATCCCACTTGCCGGAATCGTGAGCACCTGCTAGCATCTCTCGTAGCTTCTCCACACCTGGCGGCAAGCCCGAAGCGTTGGCGGTCGACATGGTGCGATCAGCAGTAGTACGAATGGTAGGTGAATCGCGGCGACTGCGCTGTGATGCGCCCCCTGGACCTGTGTATGATGCTTGACAAAGGGGTGGAGACACATCCCTCTCGAGTGTAGAACAGCACCTCTTAGCCAAATTCAAGATTGTCAGCGTGCGGGAGCGAGACTTGCACCTCCACTCAAAACTCATCAGACTCGTCTTGGATCGGGCGATTCTTATCACGTGGTCGCCGTTCGGGAACGGGAAGAGAGGGAGACACGGGAGAGGTTCACGAAAGGGCGCCCGCGCGCGAGACGCGCGTGGACGCGAAGGGCAGCCAGTCCCTCAACAGCTGACGATGCATACGCTCTCGAAGTCAAGTGTTGTTCTGCCCGCGGTGGCCATTACTGAACCACAATGCCTACAGTCCACCATGGTCACCGACCCGACGAATCAACAGTCAAAAGTGGATGACTTCACATCGAGCCTCGTCAGCGTCAGCGTGTCGGACGACGGCATGATAGCAAGATGTCACACTGACGCTCGAGTCGCGACAGTGTAGGCCACCTCGAGATGGCTCTGCCTTCAGACGCGTCTCGTCCAGCAGGATTGCGACGGGATGTGCACGACACTCGCACGCCCCTCTTGGCCCATCGTGTAGCACAGCTCAACTCTTCCTTGCTATCTGTCCGCGCCAATGCATCCTCCATCTCTTCTGCCTCCTCATCCTCTCGACAGCCCCTCTCGGCCACCTTTGGCACGCTCAGCACCGCCGACATCGCCTTTTTTGATGCGGTCATCACCCACCTGCACAGCGGCGGAGCGTCCGATTTTGCCTCTCTAAAGAAGGCCTACAATGCCGTCAGAGCTCTCCCAGTGCCAAGCCCTTGCAATGAGGAGAAGGACGCATTCTTGTGGGACAAGACGCTTTGTCTGCTCCAAGTGAGAGGTCGCGACTGGTCCAGTAGGTGGGATGCTGTGCGCATGGCGCTTGGACTGGAACCTCGCTCGACGAGCAGCGGTGAGGATGCGACGCTGAGGTCAGAGGACGCAAGCGAGAGCAGCGAGGAAGACGTCACGACGGGAGGAAGTGCTGATGAACTGGAGCGCTGGAGACTTCAAGCTGCTCATACCAACATCCACAGAAATCCTGGCCATAGGCACGCAGTGCGACTCCCAGACGCTCTGCAGCAACAAAGCCAGCCATCGAAGCTACAGTCTTTAGCTGCGCAGGCGCGAACGCTTTCTCGGCAAGCGGGTCGATTTCAGGATGGCGATGATGGTAACAGACCGCACGGGCAGGATAAGGGAGCTTATGTGGACACTGCTAGCGATTCTTCCACACTAGCACCTTCAGCGACGTATGCCATGTCGGAACGTCAAAAGGCTATTGCTGCTCAGCAATCAGTGCCCCACAAGCTTCGCCAATATTCCGGCACACCGCCAAATGGCTCCGAGTCGGACTCCCCAGACCTGCAACGGCCCACTCGTGCGATGCAACCCAGCAAGGAAGGTCTCACTGGCGTCAAACCGTTGAGCCGACCGCACCCCCAACCATCGGACACCGATCGATCGACTTCTTGTGGGCCTGAGGCGAGGCGCGATACATCTGCGCGCACATCAGCCCAGAACGAAGTGCAAAGACGCTTCGCTGCGGTGATCGCCCGGTCTCGCGAGGAGCGGGCAGCTCTTGCAGCAGCTGAAGCGGAGCGAGTAGCTTTGGCGGAGGAGCTAAGTCACGCGCCAGCAACACGCTTGGCTGAAGAGCATGATCGACGAAAGATCCTGCGGCCTGCGCTCGGCTGGTGGAGGCAGCGCTATCAGCGATTAGAGGCCAACGCAGGCCGCGTAGATCGAGCTCATGATCAAATCATCTTGTCCAAAGCGCTGAGGTGTTGGGTAAAGCGTCGCCAGGCCAAAGAGCAGGCCTTGAACGCCGCGGGCGGCGTGGACAAGGTGAGATGCCTTCTAGGCGCTTGGAGAGTATGGAGGAAAACGTGTGCGCTTCGTAAGGAGCATCGCAAGGAGGCCCGCGTTGCCGAGCTCAAATCTGCCTGGGACGCAGTCACGTCAGAACGCGACCACAGGGCGAAGTGGAGAGCATGGGAGGTGAGTCTTGCGTGTGTGCTTTGCAGCAGGACGCAACATTCTAATCAACGTGATCACACGCAGGAGTGGCGCTCGCGCTTCCTGCATCGCTTTGCTGGAAGACTGCGAGAGGAGCACTTAGTCCGCGGAGCATATTCAATGTGGAACCTCGCCCTTGCGCGATCACGCCGCTTGAAGTCTGTCGAGAACGAGATGGCCCAGACGATGATGCGCAATCGGCTTGCGGACTCCTTTGACTCGTGGCAGAAGCGCTTGGCTTTGAGGCGAGCAGAGGCCGAAGCATCGCAAAGGTTAGATGACCGCTTGGTCCGGAGCGCATTTGAGGCATGGCGCAAACAGGGGTGAGTGGTCGTTCACAAAGTCTGAGAGGTCGTCAGCGCTTCAAGAGTCTCACTCCTGTTTTATCTGATCTCACGACAGTGAATTGAATGTTTTGGCAACCAATTACCTCGCGCTGCGAGTCAAAAGAGGCGCTTTCAAAGCTTGGCAGACAGCGACGAGCGAGCGCGCAGATCGGGCGCGCAGAGAGTCGCTCGCCGATCGCTGGCGAGTCAGACGGAAAAAGCGTCAGGCTATTAGCCGCTGGCAAAACAAGTATCAAAAGCTTGCGGACATGCAGGATACCGCCTCTAGTCTTCTTGTCATACGAGAAGAGCGCCTGCAACATCGCGTGTTGACGCAGTGGATGCTGGAAGAGCGCCTCGTCCTTGTGTGCAGGGTCCGCAGTTCTAGGACAGTTGCTGCCGCTTTCAAAGCTTGGAAGGATCGGAAGTCGCATTTTGCGGCGTTGCTCGAACCGAAAGCAGAGCAGGTCCAGGCTCGCTCGCGGCGCGCAACCACGACCAACGTGTGGTCGAAATGGCGGCGAAGGCATAGTCTTCATGAAGCTGATGCTGCCGAGGCTGACGCGTTTTTCGCCAAGCGCCTGTTGTCCAAAAGCCTGGCACAGTGGAGCTCTTTGCTGGAATCGCAGCGTCAGATGCAGCGCAGAGCCGCTAAGGTCGCCGAGTTTGTCGCTTTGCGAAGATCGTGGCAGGAGTGGGCAGCTCTGCTGCGAGAAAGGAGATGCGCGGAGTTGCAGTCGCGGAGAGCCACCATAGGAGTCAGAGCCGCTTTCACCAGTGAGTGCGGTTCCCTTTGTGGTGCCCGTCTTCGATGTCGGAGCGCTGATGAAGGTTTCGGTACCTCATGTCCAGCCTGGCGCGCTTGCGCTGCGGAGCGCGCAAAAGAGCGCGTGGCAGTTGAGAAGGTCACTAATCGGCGGGACGACCGCATGCTACGACTGGCGCTGGGTCAGTGGATGAATCGAGTCATCGAACAGCGCAGTCAAGCGCTCCGAGCCTCAGAGAGATGGGACAGCATGATGCTGAGAGGCGCATGGTCACAGTGGGTTGCTGCATGCGTGCGCCACGAGGACCTAATCAACCTCGGCCAGAGCTTTGCGGACGTCAAGAAAGAGGGTGAGTGTTGTGTTGAGCCGCATCGGCTTCGAGTGGCTCACTCCTTCATCGATACCCTCTTGCAGAGCGCACACGACGCATTTTGAGCAGTTGGCTGTCTCGAACGCGGATCAACCGGGGCCATCGTGTAGCTGCCGAGGCTTTCAAGGCAAAGCGAGACCGGCGCAAGATGGAGGAAGCATGGGTTTTGTGGACCGAAAAGCATTACGACATTAGCCTGCGGCCATTGGTGCGTCTAGACGCCGCTTGTTTGGCAAAAGTCCGCCTCTGACCTTGTCTTTTGTCTGGATGCAGGAGTATGAGGTGGCGATGAAGAGGCAAGAAGGCGCTGCCAATGCCGTTATGCGCAAGTGGCAGGCTCGCACCCGCGTGCTGCCAGCTCTCAAACTCGATAGACAGAGGCTGCTTAGCCATTCGTGGGACAAGTGGAGCGACAATCTACCGGTGGCTGTGGCTCGTCGACAGGCGATCGATCGAGATAGGAATCAAATGCTGGGCAAAGCGTTCTTTCATTGGATCAGGGCAAGCAAAGCCAAGCGATCGATGCGTGCTGCGGCGTGAGTTGCGGTTTCGAATGAAGTGCGCGTCGGTAGTCGAGAGTCGCTCACCAAGTTCTGATCGTTCCACAGGCGCTTCGGGGGCCCTTCAGCCGTGCGCCTGCGTGCTGCAGCGCAACTCCGAAAAGTCAGCCCATTCGTGCACCGGCCGAGCTCCAGTCCTGGTGCTTCGCCAGTACCAACAGACTCGACCAAGGAGTGCAAGCCAGAAGTGAATGGAGCGCCAACGCCAAAAGCTCACAGACCTAACATCAAGCCAGCTCAGTTCAGTGAGAGCATCCTGTCTGCCACAGCCACACAATCGCCTAGCGCCCGGCGCGCACCAGAGGTCACTCTGGCGCAATTGGCAGCGTCACCTCTGAGGAGACTACGCTCGGCAAATGCAGTGATCGAAGGCGAAAGACGATCGTCTTTAGACCGCCCTACGGACACTCTCTCCAGGCTACGGCAACAGGCTGTAGCGGCACCATCCGGGGTGGCGACTCAAGTAAGGGGCCGCGCAAACACTCAAGCAGCTGGCGATCGGACGAGACCCGTTTCCCCGACGGCTCGACCACCACCAAGTCGCATGCCGACAGAAGCATCGAGTGCGCTTCGTCGTTGGGCGCACGGAGTGGCTGCTTCAGCAGACGTAGGTGTACTCGGACAAGACACCATCGACTTTTCGGAAGCAGAAAGCGATGCAACGGAACGTCGTCCAATCGCGCAATCCATCACGTCTCCATCCTCCACCTCTGCTCTCTTGGAGACCACGTCGGCACGAAGACAGGATGCAAGGCGACAGGCTTCGCCAGCGCCATCACGAGCTCAGTCCGCTATGGATCATCGGACTGCGGCAAGCCGAAGGGCGAATCGAAAAGCAGAAGCGGAACGAGAAGCACGCAAACAGGAAGATGTATTGCAGCTTCTGAGAGCAAGACGGAGACAGAGAGCGCTCCAGCCGGAAGGAGCAACGGATAATGAGGATTGAGCACTGCGTCGTTGCCGCTTCGGCCTCGATCGCAAATGACGCCCGATCAACTTGTATGACCAGCAGAAAATGTATTTGTAATCTTGCGAAGCATCTTCCGTCTGCCGTGTTCTGAATTGTTGCTTGAGGAATCCCCGCCAGCTGGGACCAGGTCAGCCTTTGAAAGCGCGATCTACCGAAATTAGGTACAGCGGCGTCCTAGCTGCTGACACGATTCGGGGAGGACGAGGTGCGCGCAGGAGAGCGCTCCTATTGCTTGTAATTGCCTTGGCAGTGTCTCATGTTGGGGCGCTCCCGTTTCAAAAACAAGTCAGCCTTCGCGAGGGATGTTCGACCAGCGAGCTCGGGGTCATTGGTTGATATGGGCATGGTCCGAATTAGCTTGGGCCAAGCATCGCGATGCAGGATGGTGTGTCACCTGATCAGCACTTGTGGGCTAATGAACATTGGCAGCAAGCCTGGCTCTGGTAGGATTGGTGTGGTGGCTATGAACGCACCACGTCGTCCGTGTGCCATAGATGAGCAGGACACGCAGAGCGAAGAGCATAGCAAGCTGGAGTCTAGATCAGGTTCGTCCGAGGTCGAAGGATACGCGAGGTAACAGATCCGCAAGCTTGAATGTTGCGGTTGAGTCTTTGAGCTGCGGCCAGTAGATGGCGACGAGGAAGCAAGCGGCGAGAAAGATGGCATCGAGGGTGAGCAGCAGGGAAGGGCTCCACCTAGTCTTTGCCTCGGGCCCAGACGCGGTCAAGCAGGTCAAGCCGCCTTTCTTTTCCGATGCACCGCTCGACGAAGATTTGGAATCGTTGCTTGCGAAAAGGCCAGGAATGGCCGGGTGACCCACGGGTGGAGTGCCGGTGAAGCCCAAAGGACATTTGGGCGCGTTGTCGCTTGCGGATGATGACATGATGCGATGGAGCTTGAATCTGTAAGAACGATGGGCGAGGTGTCGAGAGGCGGGGGGGAAAAGGATTGCAGGCTTTGATGTTGGTTGAGCGCCGGTGCTGGGAGGGTGCGAGTGAGTGAAAAGTTGGAATAGGAGCTGCATGGGGACGATGAAGAGATGAGCGTGCGACTGCGGTCTTGGCAGCGCATCTACTGTGTGATACATCCATCGAACCTGTTGACTTACGCGTCGAGGTCCGCTGCGCGACTCATGACTGTGCGCACACAGCAGCTGCTCCACCTCTGCGCGCGCGCTTGCAAGAGGAAGGAAGCTCCAACCACAACTTTGCGCCGCGTGCAAATCTACACGCCCCGACCTGATTATTCTCGACTGTCTGACGGTCCGCTTGGACGGCCTCGCTGCTGACTCGCGCTATTCGCGATTGCGACAGTCACGAATCAGAGAGACACGTGAGTGGGAATTCGGTGGTTACAGTATTCACGTGATTGTGACTCTGATATGACTCATGACCGCATGCTGCTCGATCAACCCAGCAAGCAGCCTTGCCTCACTTCCTCCTCCCTTCGCATTGACCACCCGCACTTGCTCCCAAATCAGCGAGTAAGCGTGACGGACGCGATGCCAAAGGATCGCAGGGCAGCATGCAGCAGCCAAGGCGCAGAATGAGCGGATGCAACACATGCACACTCACGACTACTAGACTACTCGTGAGTCGTGACTGCGATGCCAAAGGGGTTCCTGCATGCAGCTAGCTCATGCGGCATATCTCGATTCTGAACCGCCGGCAGGCAAGAACAAGCTTTTCAGCTTCTTATTGAGACCGACGTCAAGGGCGGGCGGCGAAGCGCAGCGCAACGCAACGCAACGCAACGCAACTCCGCCTTCGGCACGTCGGCAAGGGGCGATCTACATCAGCAGTCAGCACATCCACCACCGCGCCTGCCCTTCGCATTCAAACGATCACAAGTTCGCTATTCAACTTGGGCTTCCGAATACAAGGTGACATGCAAGATGTAGCAACAGTCCAAGAGTCAATATCTATTCACAAGAACGACATGCGGGCAGAACGAGGTGGCAAGGTTTTACAGAGAAAGCGCAGGCACAACCTACACCAAAGGCTCGTGAATCGCCCCTCTGCTGGCGGCGCATTTCATGGACCTACTCTCCTGGCTCTGGGTGCTCATTACAACAAGCTCTTCTGTAGTACTACTACTACCACCACTGCTGCCGCTGCTGCAAACTCTGCTGGATGCCGGTGTTGCCGCAAGCCACACACGCAAGGCTAGCGCGCACCTCACAGTCTGCTTGCCTGCCTGCCTCCCTGCCGTAATTAGCAACGGCAACGGCTCGCTCCTCGCAGCCAGCTGCAGCATCGCACAAACGGCACACCGAAAGCGAGAGCGCGCTCCACAGCCTGCGATGTATCCATACAGCTTCGAGTGTCACACATGCTCTGCGCAGTGATACGAGGGGTCCGGGCTGGAACGGAGATTCAAACGAGCATGATTGCAGCTGCGTGCTCTCTGCCTGCTCCTCGGGCGTGGTGGAGAGGTCGAGTTGCGTAAAATACTTGGGCAGAGGGCTCTTATTTCACTTCACGCTCGCCTTGCTGGACCCGAATGTCCATGCCGAATCGGCACCGTTCAGGGCGATGTACAGGTTCGTGCCTCTTGCGCAGCCCCTCAACGCAGGACAATCACTGCATCGGAGTCTCGCTGAACGCCGAGCGTGCTGCTGTGCTGTGCTTTGGCAAGCGATCATTGCCGACGTCGACGATGGCATTCAGTTCGACCCTTGTCGCCATGCTGCACGTTGCGCTACGAGCTCTTCACCATGTTCGTCCACAACGATAGCCATATACTCAAGCGCTCGCTCGTAGCAAAAGACGTGAACAAGCAAGATGCGTGCGCAAGCAGCTTTCTACCTGGCTCTGAGCTCCCTGCTACTGGCTAGCGCAGCCCAGGCTGATAGAGGGGCATCAAGGAAAGAACGCAGCTCCAGCGTACAACCGCGAGCTGTGCTGTCTCACGACTTGGATCGACATGGCCGCTTCAATCGAGTGACTCGGCGGAATGCTTCTTACGATCGGGCAGAAGCGGTGGAAAAGGACGTTGGGCTTGGCGGAGGCCAAGCTGCGCCTGGCTGGTCGCGCACTTCACTGAATGCCAGAGGAGATTTTGTCAAGCGCGACTTGCAATTCATCACGGATATGGCCGCCACAGACCCCGTCGGGGCTGCTCAAGCGGTCCAGCAGATTCCCTACCTTGCCAACAACGCATCGGGAGTGACGGATACCGCAGATGTGAGTTTGGCGCAAAAATTGCGCAAAAAAGGGGCGAGTCCTGACTCTTGTGAGCTACCAACACATTCATCCGCCACATTGTATGACAGCAACTGTGAGTGGTTGATGTATCGACGGTAATGGTGTTCCGATGCCTTCTCGTCCCTGACACTTTTGGCGTTCCGCTGCCCCGATGCGCGTTCGCGCTCACAGCGTAAGCGGCGATAGCAATGAAGCACAGCTTCCGTGGAATAATGCCACAGCTTTTATGTGAGCTGAAAGGTGCACGGATACAACGTCGTCATCTCTAGCCGCCATGCCTGAGACGTGTCGCTCGATGATCTTTGCAGCGCTACTGCTTCCACCAACATCTCTGCCGCTGGTGGCTGGACCGCTCTGCCCCAACAGCAGGGCTACGACCTGAACAGGAGCTGGGAAGTCGTACCGGGTGCAGTCATGGTGCGTCAACGATCAAAGCTGATTGCAAGGCATCCAGACGCTCACGGAGACCCTTCTTTCCCACATTCAGCCGTTCTACATCACCTCAGCTGGCATGTATCAACGCGAAAATGTAAAGCGGATAGTCGTCACTGCGCCTGGAAAACGTGAGTGGGCATCCGCGTTCGACGCAGACTGAACATTGTTTCCGCTCATGCTTCCGTCATTGTGCCATGGACAGCTAGAGACACTTGGCTTTATGCCAATCTAGCGCAGAACGCCGCCGCGGTCGTGTATAACAACCAGAGCAGTGGAGTCACAAACGGATCTGTGGTCATCGTCAGCCCTGCCTGGCTCAACGAGGTGGACCAGCAAGCGGGCAGCGTGCAAGGCAACGAACTGTACTGGAACGGCTCTGCGTGGGAGTATGGTGGAAATTCGGTCGGACCCAAACTGAACCACAGTCTGTCTACGTTTGAGGTGCTGGACTACTTTTTAGACTCGTTTTTCGACACTGCTCAGTGGCCAGCGCTGAGTTCTGTCACTCTCGTAGGTCAGTCGCCCTCGCTAATGATTCGGGATGATGCCCTTTGGCCGGCTACCTGACACGTTCTGCAATCATGCTTGTCTTTTTTGTAGGTCACTCGATGGGCGGACAAATGGTACAGCGCTATGCTACGCTCAAGAAGCAGAAACAGTACGACGACAATGTCTACTACTTTATTGGCGATCCGGGAAGCTACACTTGGCTTTCCAAGGACAGACCGTATCCTAACGCCACGTGCGATGCACAGGCACAGCAGTACCATTACGGTCTCTACGGGAATCAGACCAAGGTGATCAAGTACGCTCGCAAAGATGTGGTGGCAAACACGACCTACATCGTGCAGCGCTTTCTGAGTCGCAAGATACACATGGCATATGGTCTACTGTGAGGGTCTCACGCGCTGGCAAGCTTGGCACTGTGCGTCATTCGCTGACAGTGCTGTCCTCCTATTCAGCGACAACGGTGCTGGTGACACGCACTGCCAAGCGAGAGAACAGGGCGGGAACCATCTCGACAGGGGCTCCCAATTTGTCCTTTCCCTCGCGAATCTCACAGGCACCAAGACGCTCCCGCCCACCCATTCCGTCTCTTTCCTAGGTAACATCAGCCATCAAGACTACGCCGTGTACAGTTCAAATAGCTCCTTGCAGTTCCTCTTCGTCAACGAGTTCGGCAACAGGTATCCCGACATTGTGCCTTACAATCCTGGCGAAGCGATGAACGGCACAAAAGCCGTTCCGCCAAAGCGTCCTTACGACACGCATAACAACAGGCTCCTAGCGTGGAGCTTGTTCGGAGGCAGCATCGCCTTTGTCGTTTGCGTCTTCTCCATCTTGCCATTCATCTTTACAGATAATTGGAACGAAGAGGATTACAAGAGGGACATTGCCAGGTTGGCCCAGGTTGCGCAGTACCCTACCGGCTTCTCCTCGTTCGCTAAAGGCGTGAGCAAGAAGCACGAACCGCAGTTTTCGGACAATAGCATTGGCAGCCGACGAGGTCTGCTGGATCACAACACTAGTCAGCACAACTTGATCTATTGAGTAGAGGAACCAACATCGACTTTGGCGGCAGGCCCGCAAGCTCCCCCCTATACGAGTACTGAACCAATCTCGACATATTTTGTACTTTTTAGCCTCATTCCACTGCGGGCATTTGGGAATTTGACCATTTGCGCTGCCGGTGCAAGTCCTGCACAGCACTCTTGACTAGGTCATTGCAAAGCACTGAAAGTTGAACAAAAGCGTGTGCGTTTCATGCACGCTAGGCAAGCCGTAGAAACGCTGCGGGGCACGTCTACGAGAGGATGTACCCGCCATCCACGACTGCATCATAAGGGTGCCAAGTTAGCCTGCGTCGCAGCAACTCGCGCTGACTTGACACAGGTGGCACTCACCAAAGTCCGAACCGGTAGTGTACGTGGAAGCGTCGGAAGCGAGGTAAAGGTAGATGCCCTTTAGCTCGCGCGTATCGCCTTGTCTTCCCAGTACGGCCATCCTGTAAGCTTCTTGCAGTATTTGAGGTCTGGCTCCCATGTCGGTCTGGAAGAAACCTGGCGAGACCATATTCACCCGAGCGAACGCTCTCCATTCCCTAGCAAGGCATTTGCCAACTTGTTTGAGATGAACGCCACGCAGCCACATCACGAGCATCAGAGGCCGCTCATCAAATACGACTAGGAGAAAAGCTGCTGCCCCTCGTACTCACGCATTGTGCAGGCGGCTTTGGAAGCATTGTAGGCGCCCTGGTCGACTGGCACGTTGACAATGTGCGCCGACATGGAGCTGGTGATGATCAGGTTGCCGCGCCCTTGTTTTTGGAACACCTCTCCGGCAGCCTGATACATTGCAGCAGCAGCTCTTGGAAGTCAGCGCGAACCAGCAGAGCAAAAGCGGGGCTAGCTGCGCACTGCGGCGTCTCACCTTGGCGACGTGGAAAACGCCAAAGTCTTGGATGATCGCCGTTGAAGGTCAGTGCACGGCGTCGATGACTGCGTGTCACCCTGCAGCCCTTTTCGACTTGCACTCACAGTTGATATCAGTCTGATGATTGAAAGTACAGCGTATGAGCCAGGGCTGACCAGATCGAAGCAAAGAGATCATTGCCGCGCGCGCTTACCTGCTTATGGAACTGCTCTGGAGTCTGCTCCAAAATACCGCCCTCTATGCATACTCCAGCATTCGCGATCTGCAAAGTCAATGAGCGTCCAAACACCTTCAGAGAAGAAACGCGTAATGGCGACAACGCAACAGAGAGCCTTGTGCGCGCCCGCGCAGAGAAAGACTCACCGCCACATCCAGCTTTCCAAAATCCTCTACGACCTGCTCGACCGCTTTGCGCACCTCTTCCAGATCAGTGACGCCAACCTTGTACGCCTTGACCTTGACGCCAGTCTTTTTTGCCAGCTCCTCTCCCTTCTCGATGGCAGCGTCGTTGCTATTGTACCAAAGCGCAACGTCCGCTCCCGCCTCTGCCATAGCTTCCGCAGCTGCGAACCCAATGCCTGCCGCTGCTCCGCTGATAGCGACCACCTTGCCCTTCATGCTTGACGTGGGAGAAGGACAGCGTCAGCTTGGCGAGCATATGATTGGCTAGCCGGCTGGAGGGCGCGCGACTGACGAGAAGAGGTCGAACACATGGCTCGAAGCTACCTTCGGAACTGGGCGCGGTTCAATCTGCTTGGCTTCGGGATCATACTCCATCGACATGTTTGCGAGAGAGGGTGCTGAAGCGTAATTTAAAGGAGTTGGTGGGGGGACAAGGTTGCCTTGTGAGGAGACGATGAGATGCGCTCGCACTGCGACTGAATGAGGAGGATGTGATTGCAAGAAGTGCGAAGAAGCAAGCGTCACGATGGATGGTCGGATTGAAGATTGCGAATCAACCAGCTTGTCGGGTGCGTGCATGGCCGGCCACAAGAAAGAGCATCGTATGCGCAGCTTCCAAGAGCATCGTACCTGCAGCAGCTCGCTGATGTACGCTCGACTGTAACTGTCATGCTGCTTGTTGCTGATTGATTGCCCTTCATGATGTCAGAGAGACTCACGACTTGGCGATCGGTGTTTCGGTGGATGAGACGAGAAAGTCTTGAAGTGCAAAACGCATCGACGAGCAAGGTCGTCGACATTCCGTCACCGACACGCCGAGGATGCGAGTCCCGAGCCGCGACTTCGAGTCGTGATCACGAGTCGTCTGCTTGCCGCTGGGATGTATTTAGGGGTCACGTGACTGTGGCTGCACTCGAGATCGCGACTCGCATTCAAGATTCTTTGATTCATCGTTGCATGGCGTCATGAATAAGCCTCCCCCAGCAGCCTCCGCACATCTCGCTCCCCCACCTCCCAGAAGAGCGTGCCATGGGAAACTTGGTGCAACTAGAACTTCGATGGCCCGGCTGGCTGCAGCAAGTCTTGACAGTCCAATAATGAGTCGAGTGCGGAGGCTGATTGCGATGATTCACGATTCACGTGATCTCCATCCTTTGCGTCCTGCTGACTTGCGCGAGCGCGGCTGTGCTACAGTAGCCGGTAGCCACACGCGTGCATGCGCCTCTGCTGCATACAGCACAGCTGCGATCGAGGAAATTGCTGCGCGCGCGCGCCGGGGACGTTGTTGGCTTGGCTTGACTGTGTTCCTGTATCGCGTGACCATCTGGATCGCATCGCAGGCACTGCCGATGCATGGAAGCGGTCACGACGAGGCAGCATCGACCAGATAACGACGCATCAGACTCGTGACTCTGACCGCTCTGCACAGTTGGCCCGCCGCACGGGCTGTGCCGGAGTGCCGACGCGGGAGGAGCGGAGATTATTTTCAGGTGCACGTACGCGCGCAGCGGTATATATAGGTGATCGAGGGAATCACGGTTACTGCGAGTCAAAGTAAGTGCCATACACGCGAGCACGTTGGATATGCGATCGAGCAGGTATTGATGAATCTTGCCCACATTCCCTTTGACCTGTTGCGCCCTCATCATCTCTCGCTTCCTCCACGCTTGACTGCGCGGTCATACACCGGCTTCTTCAAAAGCGCAGAATTGTGCCTGCTGGACTGATTGCCTCTCCTCTGGCAGCAGAGGGCCCGCCCACCAGCATCCACAGCATCCGCTCGCACAGCTAGACGCTCAACCCAAGATGCCACAAGAAGATCCGTCACCAGCAGCCATAGAGGCTAGCAAGGATCGAGCAGCAGCTCTAACCATTCAAAAGAACTATCGAGGATATCGCACCAGGCGGTCTTTGGGCGGATGCGCCTTGAGCGCTGATGATAGGTGGGGGGATGCGGTGCTGAGGCTGAGAAGGGAAGGAGCGGGCAAGCAGAATGCTGAAGGATCGAAGAACAGCGCTGCAGATAGGTGGCGCAGAGGAGGATTGATGGTTGGGCAATTCGCTGGCAGTCCAGCTTCTGGCGGTGCAGAAGAAGGCAGCAAGGCAGGTGGTGAAGCAGGCGGTGGACAGGTTCCGGATGATGGACCTGTCAAGGGCGGTCCGAGTCTGCCTGATCCCGAGGAGCAAGAGGAACAGCATCAGCAAGAGGTCGGAAAGCACACTGAACCTCTTAGGGAAGAGAGTCACGGCTTGGTCGGCGACGTGCCAGGTGGTCAGAGCGATGGCAAGGTGGACAATGTGCCCAGCGTCGCCCACCAACACGAGTATGGCTTGAAGCTGCTGGAAAGATGGACCAGGGGCGCAAAAGCGCAGCAGCTCGTAAGTCGATGTATGGCGGGGGTGTGCGATCAGGAAGTCTTGTCCCCCTTCTGCTCACGTCTCTACACACTTGAACGAATTCCAACTCTCAGTCCAAGATGATGGAGGAAAGCTATTGGCTGGAGGGTATCGACGTGGACCACAGATACGGCAGCAATCTGAAGCACTATCACTCTGTATGGATGAAGGCCGATACAGATCAAAACTTCTTCTACTGGCTCGACAAAGGCGACGGAAAGCATGTGGATCTCGAAGAGTGTCCCCGCGAAAGGCTCGATAGCGAGAAGGTCACCTACCTCTCTGTGAGTTCGGGCAATCAGCGCATACGCCAGAGATACAATGATGCTGACAAGTGCACCACGTGCCTCTCTCTTTTGTGTGTGTGTTTCGGTGCTACAGGCCGAGCAGCGCTTCAACTACTTGGTTGACATCAAAGATGGGCGACTGTTCTGGCGAAGGAACGGCAAGGCAGTGGACACTTCTCGCGGCAAGCACAAGGATCTTGGTGAAGGGCGCGGCATTGTGGAGCTTGGTCCGGAGGAGCAAGAAGAGGAGGCGCGGATCAAGGCGGAGAGGAGAGCAGCGCGTCATGGCGATGATCGGCGCTCCAGCATAGCTTCACTGAGCTCCGAAAGCAGCAGCAGCAGCTCAAGCAGCGACGCGGACAGCGAAGAGCGAGCCGAGGCAAAGGAGGATGCAAAGCATTACGGCGCCAATCTGTCCAAGAAGGAGAGGAGGCTAGGTCTGCTCACCAGCAAGGGCTGGACCGATGCGCTGCTTCGCAAGACGGTAGGCGTCAACACCTGGATCTACGTGCTGAACTCCCGCCATGAATTGTACATTGGAATCAAGAAGACGGGTACCTTCCAGCACAGCAGCTTCTTGTATGGCGGTCGAGTGCTCAGTGCGGGTCTCATCAAGCTCAAGGATGGTCTGATCACGAGCCTGAGCCCGCTCAGTGGGCATTACAAGGCCAACAGCGGTGCCTTCAGGTGGTTTGTTGCATCCCTGCAGGCCGGAGGCGTGGATTTGAGCCACGTCTCCATTTCCAAGGTGCGTGATCGACAAACGCTCATGCGCCACTTTTTTTTGCGCTGACAAAATCTCCTGCCGCGTTGCCAGGCTCTCTTGGCCTTGATGGCGCTCGAGCAGTACGGCAAATTGACCAAAAAGACGAAAGCGAAAAAGGCGAGCAAGAAGGAAGACAAGCAAAATGCGATCATCGCTGGTGCTGGTAAAAAGAAGGACCAGGAAGCTGATGCGCAAGGGCAGGCATCGAGCGGATCTGGCTCGCGCGATGGTACAGCGCACGCTGCTGAGGTGAGAGCAGCGGATAGCGCAGCATCTGAGCAGACTTCGTTGGCACCGACGGAAGGAGACGACGAAGCTGCTTTTGAAGAGAAGCGCAAAGCGAAGCTGGAGAGGGATAGGCCCAGGACTCTATTCGAGCGGACTTTCGACAAGGCAGGACTTCGACATCAACAAAGAGAGACGCGCACGAAGAAGTACGCTGAAGATGCCGCTTCAGGAAGCGAGGGAGAGGGCGGCTTATCAAGGATTCTCTCAAGGATCAGCCTGCATCGGAGCCATGAAGGTGCTTCGCAGCAATCGTCCAGGAACCCTTCTCGCGCAACGACTCCAAACCCGCCTCATTGAACCCGATGAGGCTCGTTTGCGTCTCGAGCTTCGAACAGATACCTCTCTTGTGCCGAATTGGCGCATCTGGCTTGCCCTCTCACTCTAGACGCGCGGCCTGACCCTCATCGAACCTCGACTTCTCGCCTTTTTTTGCCAATGTTGTCACCACCGAATGCTGTCCCATGGTCAGTCTGACCTTGCAAAGGGATAAATGTACAGGTAGATGATGCGCGACTCTACGAGCTTCTGTCGAGGATTTTTCAGAGAGACTTTGTGGCCGAGAGGGACGCTCGAAGTCACCTGAGACTGACCTGCTTAGTGTACCACTGCAAGAAGATTGAGCAGTGGTGGTGAGCACCTGACTCGCAGCCAGGGAGGTGTGGCGTCCCATTTTCCTCACCTGGTGCGGCTCGCCCTCTTCGTCATAGACGACATTGTCAGAGGTGAACCCGAGCCTTGAACGCGTGATGAGAGAGGGACGTCGGACTTGCAAGTCAGCCCTTGTGCGCGAGACGCATATCCACGAGGAATTCATCGCTAGACTCACTTGTCGTAGAAGCCTTTGGCGATTACCTGTGCGCTCAGGACGAGCTCGACGCTTGGCAATGCTGGCTCGTTTGAATCGCCTTGCAGAACTTGCAGCAGCCAGTCCTCCACGGCCTGCATCATGGTCGAGCCGCTGTGAGCAGAAGGAGGAAAGAGAGCCAAGGTTTGAGTTTGTAAATGTCCTCTCTAGGCAAGAAGGATTGGCCGGCAACGATCCAGACGCACAGTCCTAGTCCCCTCGCCTCCTTGGCGATGGCCACTCTTGAGATCTTTGCCCCCGCTTTAGGATCCCCGCCCCTAGCCGTCTTTCTGAACGACTCGCTCAACTCGTCATCTTGCGGACTCTTGAACCCTGCTGGGAATTTGTCCCCCTTTTCTTCGGGCGAAGGAGGAATGGGATAGGGAGTGATGCGGATGGTGCCTTCTGCATGCTCCGGTGTGGATTTCTTGTGCAGGATGAAATGGGCAGAGATGCGCTCTCGGCTGGCGACGAGCAACACGACGTCAGCACAGACATTTCAATGAAGGGAAACTTCCTGTCGCGCGAACAGATGAAGGACATGATGGGGAAGTGTGGGAGGGACTTGAGGGATGCCTGACTCACTCATCCACATCCGTGTTCGGGTCGTACCCTTGCTCATCGCAGAACACCTCGAGTCTCACCGCGAGCGCCTTTTCCACCATGGCTCTCGTAGTGCACAGGCTAGCTGTGTACTGCGACGTTACCGCCTTGCGACCTTCGGCGGATGTGGGTTTGGCATCGCTTGTGACGATGCCTTGACCCGGCAGTGGAGATGCTTCTTGCGCCGTCATCGCCTCTTGACGTAATATTTACGCCGACGTCTATAAATTCCTCTGCCAAACTTGCTTTTCTGTCCGCGGCAGTGAGAATCATGTACTGGCGTGTGCTTCGTGATTGTCCTGTGATGAGATTGTTTCGCCTAGCAATCAACCATTTCGAAAGGCTTCCTCGCCAGCATTCCTGCACGTATGGTCGCTACCCAACAGCATGAAAGCTTCCTGGGAGCGGGAGCGCTCGTCCGGCGGCGAGTGCGGTCACGTGCAGAGCGTTGGCGGGGTTGGCTCGAGCGCGCGCAGCATGCAAGCGCGTCAAGGGCTGCATTTGGCCCGGCTTATCACGCTCAACAGGCGATTAATCGTCCCCGCACGGCACACGCACACGCACACGCACACGCACACGCACACGCACACGCACACGCGCACGCCACCAGCAGCCATGCGAGCAAAAAGCTCAAGTGGCTGCGATGACAAACGCGATCATCACCAAGCTTCGCCGTGCTTTGACGCTCTCACAGTCACGCCCACGACTCTTTACTCTTCATCAACGCATAGACCAGGCACGGCTTTTCTCACGCGGTGCTCTTTCCAGCACGAACACGGCATAACACATCGCAGCGCAGAGCACACAAGCATGATGGAGCCTACCACTCACCCCACCCACCCCCCAAAGGATGACCCATTCACCGCTGAAGAGCTGGCAAAGTACGACGGAAAGGATGAGAATGTGCCGGTCTATGTTGCCATCAAGGGTTAGTCACTGTCATGCGATCGAAGGGGTCCGATCGAGGAAGCCAGAGATTCAGATTGCGAGCGGCTGCAACAGAAAGACTTATTGCCCGCATCCATCCACCATCCACTCGACGCGCTCAGGTCAGATCTTTGATGTGACGCCAAAACGAGAAATGTACTGTGAGTTGTTGCGATAAGATCACGTCAAAGCCGCACGGATGCGTTCCGCCTGACACATCAAGATTCCAACTTTCTATCCCAACATGCCGCGCTTCGGGCAACTCGTTTTCCTAACACGCAGCTCCCGGCAAGGGCTACTCGATCTTTGCGGGTAAAGACGCATCTCGGGCTCTGGGCATGTCCAGCCTCAAGGCCGAGGATGCTAATGCGGATTACAGCACGCTGGACGAGAAGCAGATGAAGGTGCTGGATGATTGGGTGAGTGACAGTGCGAGCGCACGCTTTCAGGAACATAGGATGTCGAGATGGAGGTGGGGCACTTGTCGATTCTGATCTCACATCGCGCCTCGCCTTGCGTCGCTCAGGTCGCCTACTACACGAAGAGGTATAACATCGTCGGAAAGCTCGTCAAGTAGGTCTACACGCACGCAGATCGCCATTTTGCAGCACGCTTAGACAATGGGAAATGTGCAAGGAGGGGTCAGGGATCTAGAATTGTCCATGTGGAGACTTGCTCCATCGTGCAGTTCATACCTCCATCTACTGCAGCTTTTGCATGATCATGTCCCATACATCTAGCTCAAGCGCGGCGTCCTGCGCGAATGGAATGGATCGCCGAGCACAGACAAGTGAGCGATGAGCATTCTCCTAGGTCGGGATAGCAAGCACGCCCTCGGACAGATGCACTCACGGCAACGGTGGTCTTGAGAGGCTTGTCCTGCTCCAGGGCTTCTGCGAGCACAGTCCATTCGGACGTGTATGCGTCGACAAAGGTGGGCCGAATCACCCTTTCCTGGTAGGAGCCAGGAATAGCTGGATCGGCCTCCCTGATGATGATGGTGATAGGCAGACCTTTGACGAAGGGCGTGTCGTACTGAAGCTTGATGATACGTTTGGGCGTAAATACTTCGATGAATGAATCAAATACTGAAAGCGATGATGCGGGGTCAGACGAGATGAGCGCCGACGTCCTCTGATCGCAGCAGAACCTTCCTGACTCACCGCCAACGCCGTGCAAGCCAGTCTCGAAGCTGACGGCAAAGCCGCCACCTTGACCCTTATTCTTGTATCTAAAGGCGGCAGTGATAAAGTCGCCCTTTTCGGTGGTATGGGCAGCGTCGCATCTGTCTGGCAGGCCACCAAAAGTTTCCCTCATCAGGCTCAGACTGTGAGATCCAACGCTGGCGAGCCACCTGTACGCGCCAACCAGATGCGCCGAGGAAGCCGTCTTGGTACCCAAAAAGGCTTGATGCTGCTCTTCTGCTTTGGCTTTTTTGTCATTTGCTGCGCCTGCGGGGATGTCCTCCACAAATTTGATCGGGGATGTTCCGCTACGAGACGGGTGGGATCCGCAGTCGTAATGATGTCAGCAAGGAGACCTAGCTGTATCTCGCAGCATTGGCGTGCTCACCTCTGAGCTACGAAGAACTCGTTTGGGCCGATCAAATCGCGAACGACGGCTGCATGTGGTCGAATACGTTGACAAATGAGCGAATGTCTGCTTTGCATTGGCCATGACATGACAGGAAGTGTCCCTCCCTCACCGTACTGCACAGGTCCAGACTCCGCTACGAGCTGCTTGAAGATCTCAAAAGCTGGCGCATAGCGTCTCATGTAGGCCACGTTAACCTGCACGCCCGCCTTCTGCTCAGCATCCTGAATTCTCTCTGCATCTTGTCGCGTAAGACACAACGGTTTCTCGATGAAGACGTGCTTGCCTGCGTTGATAGCGGCGACTGCATGATCGCCGTGATACTCGTCTGCACTAGCGATCAGCACCAGATCCACATTTTGCAGCTTCACTAGCTCATCCACCGTCGCGCAGGCTTGGGGCACGCCAAATTTGCTCGATGCGTGCTTGGAAGCGGCCAAGGACAGATCTGTGATGGCTGTCACTTTGTAGAGGTGAGGCAAGAGCTGAAGCGTCGGCAGATGTACCACTTGCGATACTTCTCCTGCGCCGATGATGCCCACGCGGATGGGAAGGGTAGGTGCAGAAGTCATCTCGGTGAGTCTTGGAACGGTGAGGTCTTGTTTGCCGAAGTGATCCGATGGGCAGTGGAGTGTGAGGGAGCGAGAAAGGCAGGATGATCCGAGGTGGACACCCTTTTATAATCGAGGTAGCTCTCCTCAAATTTCCGCGACACGGTTTGCAATGGGGGCAGCGTCCGATGGCAACAGGTGTGTGGGATCGGTAGCCGAAGAGCCCTGGACAAGTGCGCGCGTCTTGATTAGTGTGCCTGTATGCGCCGTTGCGAAGTCACTCTCGGTCTTTTAGCGGCGTCTTGGGGCTGAGATCCTCGAGTGTGGGGCAGGTATGTTGATGACTGATCAAGCGAGTGCCCGGAGATAACCAAGGCACAGGTGTCCAGATGACGCTCAGAATGACGCTGATGAGGATGACGCTCGAAAGCCAAAGTGACGTGCGTGCATACACGATATGACGCTCACAAGATGGAGCTAAGCAATTAAGCTGCATGGAAGGTCGTGCGGCGTGCCACGAATTGACGTGCACGCGCAGGAGAACAGCGATCACGTGTCACTGACCTCCACCTCGAAATTGGTAAGCGGGCAAAAGAGGGGAAAGTAGAGGCGGCTGCGCTCCCGCTTGCGCGAACTGCATCTTCCCAACGACCACTCATGAACTTTGGGCAAACATCTTTTCTCCCATCGTCCTTTCATTCCGGCTTTCGCTGCGCTCTTCCGTCCGTCGGCACGTTTACGGTCTTTCACGGAGCGCATCACCTCGTTCGTCACCTAGGTCGTCGCGCAAGATACGGCCCTCAAAGATGATCGTTGCGAGGTCAGCACTCAGAGCGGTACCCGCCGCCTCTAACGCGGTCAAGGCTGCAGTGCCGCCCACGGCCCTAGCTCAACGTCATGCTGTTGCCGTGCAGACTTCACAATCGATGACGTGCTTATGCACATGGTCCACCCGCCACGCTTCCACCTCAACATCCACCTCGAGCGGGCAGAATGGCGATGCTGCGAGCAGCAGCTCGACCAAGCCGAAAGGGACGCATGCGCACGCTTCATCGGCGTCTTCCTCTAGCGACGCGCCCCGCAAGCCATTTGTAGCGCCACCTCCACCAGGCTCATCCTCTTTTCACGTCAGGACCCTGTTTCGCGTGCTGGTTGGGGCTGGCATCTTGGCGACTGGGTATGGCCTGTACGAGTACTATGCCATGTTTCAAACTTGGCCAAAGGAGATCAGAGGCACTCTTCGAAGCGCCGTCAAGCTTCACAGGCAGGGTGAAGCTCGACGAGCTGAGATTGCCTATCGATCGTGAGTGCATTCGGTCGCACCTTTGCTCGGTGACGACGTATTGTCAGATGTCGCTGAGAAATGCCCCTCCCAACATCTCTACAGCGCCCTGGCCCTGGCTCTGAAGATGGAAGGTGGTGAGCTGGGCAAAGATGCCAACTTGAAGATCAGCGGCATCTCAATCGCTCTCGGCTCGCTTCTAGAGGAGCATGAGCAGCTGGTCGCAGCGTACGACGTGTACAACGATGCGCTCGCACGACTGCGAGACGAATCGACGGGCGCCAATAGCGGTCCCGAGCGCATGAGAGCTGTGGCCATTGCGCAAAGACTGGGTGACTTGGCGTCGACCACAGAGGTATCGGCGCATTTGGCGCAGCAGCCGCATCTTGGAGTCACGCAGCCATCCGACGCTCAGGATGCCGCTGAAGCGCATCTGGTTTGGTCAGTGGAGGAGCTTCTCCGTCTATCGGTACCTGACGACGTTCGAAAAGGCGTACTGCAGGCGACGTCCGACGAAGCGTCCGCCGGAGTCACGCTCTCCGAGTTGCAGCTTCCTGCTTGGGTTCAACCGAGCGAGCTAGGAGCCAGTCTTGAAGCGCTTGCCACTCTCTATGCGAATCGAGGCAGGGCAGAGTACGCTGCGCCATTGTACCTGCAAGCAATATCTCTCCTCTTGCCTCCTCCAGAGCAGCGCAAAAGGAATGCGACCGCGGCAGAGAGGTGCCGCGCTGCAGTGATGATGTCCAACCTCAGCTTGATCTTTTTGCAAGCTGCTCCAAAGGGCGCGGCAGGAGAGGAGGGTCGATCGCAGGGTAGAATCTGGGCTGAAAAGGGTCTGAGCATCGTAGAGAAGACGAACGCGATGGCTGGCTGGGCAGGCGAGAAGCCAAAGGCGAAAGTGGAAGGCGGACAAGATGAGGAGCGAGTGAGGCAGGTCAGGGCGGAATGCGCAAGTGCAGAGACTACCTTGCTCTTCAACCTGGGATTTATGAGCGAGGTGAGTCATCCATCAGACCAAGGTTGGCACGTGCCAATACGCTCGCGAAGCTGAATTTTTTTTTGTCGCCTCATTGCGGATCTCGGGATGCGCCCACAGCTCGCTTCTGATCCTTGCCAAGCGCGCAAGTACTTTCAAAGGGCTTACAAGCGAGCCGACGATAATGGATTGCGGGAAGCTAGATCGCACGCAGCTGAAGCGCTAAGCAGGCTTGAACGGAGCGGATCGCTGAGCTAATCTAGACATTGCATCACTTGCTATCATCACTTGATTCTGCGTAGGGCAATACGAAGTCGTAAATGGCAAGTCCAATGCGAAAGAGGCTTGGGATGGCTTGACGTGCAATCAAAGCTTCTGTGCAGCCTCGTAAGCGCTAGCTGAGCTCTGTACCACGCACGAACGATTAGATGACGACGATTCAGTTTGCGAAGTGATTTGAGCTTTGCCAGGAAGCAACTCACCTCTCCTGGCTTGACACCGACGCTGGAGAGCGCGAGGCGGCCTTGGCCATCGACGACGAAATGGCTGCGTTTTCAGGAAAAGTGTTGGTTCAGCACAGAGACTTCGCTCACCAGTGCGCATTGAAGCCACCCCTTACCTGCGGGCGGTCGAGGACTTTGAGCCAGTTCTTCAGACAACGTTTACGGGGCGTCATGTTAGTTTGTGGAGGTACTTGGAGCTCTCTACCGCGGTGGATCACTGCACTGACAAAGCTCCAATGAGCTTGCGCTCTGGGTCCGAAAGCAGAGCGTAGGGAAATGAATTTTTCTGGAGGACAATCGTGTTTTGCGGTCAGTCATGGCGACCTCTCGTCGTTCCTGACACGCGGAGAGGACGTGCAGGAGTGCCTCACCTCTTTCCAGTTCTTCAAGGGAGTGGCGTTGTCGTTGCTAAGACCATAGACCGACACTTTGAGCTTCTGAAATTTGCTGTAGTCGTCGCGATAAGTACAAGCTTGCTTGGTGCAGCCTCCCGTGTTTGCCTGAGATCCGAAGAGGAAACAAGGATCAGCACGCACGACAAGTTACGCAGTAGCGACGAATCGTCTTGCGATATGCACCTTTGGATACCTGTCGATGGTGTGACAGTGGCAAAAGAGCAAGAAAATCAGTCACCGCTTTTCGACGTGTATGCGCTTTCACGGCAGACTGACGCGAAGATGACGGCCTTCTTGAGAGCGGACAGCTTGACATCGTTGCCAGCTTCATCCTTGAGCGTGATTTCCGGCAGCTTGTCGCCGACTTCGAGCTTCGTCTTGCCGCTGCTCGCCTTGGACTCAGCAGCATCAGCAGCAGCAGCTGTGCCATTCGTCTTCTTCTCAGACTTGGAGCTCGGCTTTGGCTTTGGCTTGTCCTCTGTCCCTGATTCTGGAAGTGGCTGTGGCGCTCGCGCCTTTGTCGCCTTGGATTTGGAAGCAGGTTTGGCGTCGCTCGTGGACTTTTCATCATGCTTCGCCCTTTTGGAAGCCGAAAGCTCGGCAGTCTTCTTGGCTTTGCTTTCCTGCGCCTCGCCACTTTCGGAAGCGCGTTTCTTGCCCGCGATCGCACTCGCTGCAGCGGCCTTGTCTTTTCCAGCGGATGCTGGAGGTTGAGAAGCGATTCTGGCCGAAACTCGACGCTCGGTCGATGCCGAGCCTTCGATATCTTTCTTTGGCGCCATGATGGGCACGAATGATTGTGCGTCAAGAGAGAGGGAGAGGGAGAGAGCGGTCGCGCGTTCGAGTTGAGATGGTTCGCTGTCGCCCAATGTTGCACCTTTCAAATGGATGAGGTATTCGCGAACTCAAATCTCGCCTTCTTGACTTGCGAACTTTGCGGATGATGGTGGATGCATGCATGCATGCCTCTCCTCTTGCTTTTGACGGGCAGCGTGGTCGAGTGGACGACTGAGCAGTTGGAGTAGTAGATGATCACGCCACGAGCAGATTAGCGGATGACACGAACACACCTCGCCTCGTGAGAAGAAAGTCCGCTCGCATCGCGGCGCGCTTCAATTGGGTTATTGGCGCGGTGCTGGCTGACGCCATGATGGATATACGCAAGCATTCAGATAAAGCGGTAAAGCCCGCCGCGCCCGCATGTGCTGATTGATGTTGACCACCAGTAGTAGCGGCTGCTCCTGCGCGACCAGCATGCAGTCAACAAAGCGAGCCTTGGGTCGCAAGCATGCAGCATCAGTCAAGAGTCAAGACCTTGGACTTGAGACGCGAAACATGCAACAACACCAAGTCACAATTTGGAGACACAATCACACAGAAGTGTGCATCGATGTGCGGCTAATGGATACGAAGCTTGCCAAGCTTCGTTTTCTCTTATCGATCGCGTGTGCATTATGGCTACAGCCGGACGGCCTTCACATTATTGCTCAACTCACGACTGCAGAGCCGCAATCAACGGCCTTGCTCGGCTGTCTCACGCAGACGCACGTCTTCCCTCCCGGGCGTGTGGCCTCACATCGTACACCTCCATCGAGGCTCGTGTATACCATGCAGCCATATAGCAAATGGGGCCACGCACGCGCTTTGCCTTTGCCAGTCGTGAAGGGTCACAGAAGGGCTTGCTCGAGTCCAAGGCGCTCGCTCATCCCCCTCCTTCAAGGCCGCCGTCATGGCGGCGAGTGCCTTGGGCGGTCGAGAGAGCACGCGGTACAGCTTGATGCATGCCCGGGGAGAATGATGCAGAGGAAGCATCCAGCAGCTCATCGCTTTGCTCTCCTCTTCACATCCACGATTACAGTCGTGAGCGTGCGCCCCTCTGTGGTAAATTTGGTGATCTAGCTAGCCAATCACGCTCCTGTGCTGCCCTCGTGGTCGAGATGGCGACGCGACAGGTGAGTCAAAAGTCGTGAGTGTGGGTACGTCTGAGCCAAAGGCTCGGGGCACCCTAAACCCCGCAGTTGGCGCAGGGCGAGGCCGTGCTGCTACAGCTTCCGAGGCGTTGGCATGCAGCTATCGCTCTGCCACGGACCTGACCAAGGTGTTCAGCCTCGGCACCCGCTCGCCTGCACGCTCTCGGCCAGCTTGGACATGCGATTCCTTGCCAAGTCGCTCGCCGGCAGACGGCTCGCTCGCGTCGTCAATCGGCACCACTGCGTGGGCCGCCGCCGTTGGCTGCCACAGAAAGAAATTTTGTCTATTCGTATATCGTACAGAATGTCTCTCTCCCCTCGCTGTGCATGCCAGTCCGGCTTCGTCTTGTGCAGATGCCGCTTTACCAATGGCCGCGCTGACGTCCACGTTGCTTCTGAAATTGCATAGACGACCTAGCTTAGCTGTCACCGGGCTCGTGGCTCGGCTTGTTGCCGTAGGCCGCTTTTTCTTCTCATCTTCGGTTTGCCCCATCCCCTGGCTTCTATGCTTACATTGCTCCCCGCTGATGATTCGATCACCTCGATCCGACGACTCTGCTTTCTGTGACGTTCCGCCAGCCAAATGGGCCATCTCTACATGTGCTTGCTCAGCCTAGCCAAGTGGTAATTGATCGTGGACTTGCTAGGTCTGTTGCGATTAGCCTGCACACGCGCAGGGTCGTTTCAGAGGGATGAGAGATGACAGTCAGCTTCTGTGAAGCACAAAATACGATCCATGTGATTCGAATCAGTCATCAGAGGACAGCACCTGACCGATGCAGCGCAGCATCCCGATTCCGAAGTGCTGCTGAAGATTCCGCATGCGACGCTTCCGACCACCCTCCAGCCACGGACGTCGAGGCAGTCTTAGAAAGACTCACTTTGCCGCTGTTCATGCACTGTTGCAACACCTTTGCGCTGGCCGCGCAAGGTCCGATATTGTTGGTGTCTTGCGAGCTGGCCCAGCAAGCCAACATGGCTGCGAATTCTGCGGCGCATGGAGCTTGAGCGACCTCTTTGCGAGGTCGCACTTTGAGATTGTGCAGCTTCATGCTGTCCCAGACAAGGCAGAGCTAGCTGCACGCTCCGACTGCGCTATCAATCTGCGCGGTGGGCTGATCGATGTGGTGACAGCGGTTTGCGCCCAGGATGCGGGCAGCCAGTGAATCGTGATGGTGGACGTGATGTGCGTGGTCTGTCATCTCGAAAATCACGGAATCAAGAATCTTGAATAAATAAATCACAAATCAAGAATCACGAATGATCTTGCCCTCTCGTACGCACGCGAGTTGAGATCACGTGACGTTGTGATGACCACGCGACGGGATCCGCCGCTGCTAAGCTCATCATGCGACGCCGCGCACCGATCCTACCTTCATCAATCGGACCAGCCATGCGTCTGACGACCTCAAGAGTTCATTCATCGTCAAGCCTTGTCACCAAGTCAAGTGAATCATGTTGAGCCTATCGTGTATGCTTCGATGCAGACACCCGATGCCGAAGAGGATCTGTCCGCAAGCCTGCGCTCACGAATGCAACAGCCGTGCGCAAGTGGATGCTTTATCAAAATCGTCACACTGGATTCAAATTGTCATGCTGGAAATCTAGATTACCTACAAGACCTGCTGATCTCGTCGAGTGGTCACGCGTGTGATCGGAGGCTCGATGTTGCGCTCTCGGTCCTCTTGTCCGAGCTTCGAGCAAGACCCTAGATACCACCGTGCGTAGCGCGTAGCTGAGTGCGTACTGGTTGTGTGCCTAAGCTGCCCGACTGCTCGAGCATCGCCAAGACTGTGACTAGCCCACCCACATTGGCCCCTCACGAAATTTAACGCGACAGAATCCTTCGCCGAAATTAGCAAAGCGCTATCATTTTGAGCTTTATGTTCCGCTGCGGGGCCGAATTTTTAATTGCTGTGACTCTCACAGCAGCTCGATCACGATCCGCTCTTGACTGACCACAGGCTAAACGCCAATCAAGAATCAGGCGCCGACGTCAGGGTGTTACAAATTCTATCGCCTCACATCTTCGATTGGTCGATGAGAAGCTTCTTCACGGCGTGCCACCTTGATTGCTAGAAAGAATCACGTCAAGGAACGCGCGCTCAAGCCTTCTTCGCATGCAGCAATTAGGGGAGCAAGGCGGAACGGAATGGGCGCGCGCATGTTTGTCACCTCGCCGCGCTGCTGGCAATCTTGAATCAGAATGAGGCGCAAAGATCTGATGCGGCGCACATCACGCCATGTCTCCTCCGCAGCCACATTTAGAGGAGAGGCACGCTACAATCAGAATGGACAGGCACCTAGGCTGTACAGAACGAACGCTGCAAGCCTGTTCGTGCAGACTAGCTGTAGCTAGGGTAGGACTTTTGCAGCAAGTGAGCCATGCGAGCCGGACAGCCAGCATGCATGCATGCATGCAGCATGTGTGCCTCGATCCCAATTCCGATTTTGATTCAGAACCCCGCAGCCGCCCATGCACCGCAGGTACAAGTGTACAGATCGAAACACAGCGAAGCAAGCAAAAACGGCGCTAAGGATCTGCTGCATGCATGCACCCCGGCCGGCTTCTGCGATGCTGCTGCACGCCTTGCTTGCTGCGTCTCGCCTTTTGTCGCTTTTTTGCTCTACCCCGGCACGTTAATCGTGCTCTTCCGAACAAGACAAGAAGTTCGATCGTCAGGATCGAACAGTCATGAGAACGAAAGTCATGAGTCAACGGGACGCTCAGAATGAAGGACAGGAAGCCCAAACACTATTCACATTCGTGAGATTAGTCGAAAGCCCGCACCCTGGACGCGCCCTGGATCAAACCAGACCAACGTCAGTCACGTGGGTAGTTGAGGAGCTGGCCAAATTATGCCATCAATCAAGAAGAATCTCGAATGAAGGACCCATCACGGACTCAGGCTCACCTTCAGTCACTCCTTCGGTCCACCGCAACGGCCGAGCTCCTTACGAGACTGCGCCCATGTATAGCTGCTGTACTAGTCGCCTCCTGGCTGGTGCGTTCCATCTCCCCTTCATTTTGTATAGGTGCTCGCCTGCCAGGTCGAATGAGCAGCTCGTGTATATCGGTGCTATGATGAACGTAAATTCAAGATTACAATAAGTGGCGGAACGGGATGCGTTTGGATCAAAAGCTTGTCAAATTTCTGCTTGCGCCTGTCGCTGGGCGTCGGAGTCTGCTGATTGTCGTCCGAGCTGGTGAGCATCCAGCTTAATTGGGCGTACGACTTGCTAGCTCATTAATTTTGCTTGTGCTGTGATGCAGCCCCGCAATCTGGTTTAATTGCGCGATGTGTGCGATCACTTGGCTTTGCAAAGGCGGGGAAATGCAATCATCTCGATTTGCATGAAGGCTTGTTCCCTGCGGCGTGTGATGCCTGTCTGCACGCACACACAGTTATGCGTGCATACACACCGCTGCATGGCTGATGTCTCCAGCATCTGCAGCGCACCCTCATAGGGTCAGGAGAGAGTCATCAGAGTGCGAGGTTTGCGTGCGCGGCAGATTCAGAGCAGATCGCTACAATAAGCGCGTACACGCCATGGCGGGTACTAATTATAATTTAGCGAGAAGGAGGAGGCTGCCGCGAGACATGATGATCGTGCGAGTCTCGAGGCTTGCTCTCCGCTTCTTCTCTTCCTCGCCCGCGTCGTGCCCGCGATCCTAAATACTTGTAAATGAACATGAACGAGGACACTTGCACCAGCATGCCTGCTGGCCGTATGCACCACCACCGCTGCACAACTACAGTACTACTGTATCTGCTTACTCCATTTGTGAATGCATGCACATTAGCAGCTGCGAATTCGTGTCTGGTGCGTGATCCTGAAGCGATTCTTGCCTCACTGACTGTATACTCACCGTACCCGGTGATACTTATGCTCACGACTGCAGCAGGCGAGTACGGCAGCGGCGAAGCGGTTGCATCTATACGCATGCACGCGCGCGCGGGGAGAGGCTGGCTCCATCGAGGTCGAGACCCGCGGCCTGCCTCTCTACGCTCCCTCTGCAGATGCAGCTGTATGTACAGATGATGATGCATCTGTGTCCGAGCTTACGCATACAGTCACTCAAGTAAATAGACCCGCTCGCTCGCCCAGGCACCGGCACCGCACCGTCCCTACAGGATCGACCTGCTCATCTGCGACTCACCCAAATTGCTTCCATCTCAAATCTCCACGCAATCCCATCACTCAGACTGTACCGCTTCCCGTCTATCCGTGCCCGTTCAGCTCAGTCCCAATCCTCACATCGACCTTTTCCGGTTCCCGCCCTTCACCTCTTAGCCTACAGCGGCTGTAACAGTACAACTTCGCCCAGCGCACGCCTCCTTCCACACGAGATACCCGTGCACCAGGAGAACAAAATACAGCCATTTGGCTGTACCTTTCCCGACTGCAAGCTTCCGCCGTCTGCACTACCTTGCTCTGCTCTGCTCTGCTCGTTCGATCGCTCCGCATCGAGCTTACACCCGGGTCCTCCACTAGCGCCTCCTTAAGCGACAATTCGGACCGTTCATCTTCACTAGCGAGCATCATCCGACACTTCTGCTACTCGACGGGATCCTTTCCGCGCTGCGAAGCAGTGGCCATATGGAAATTTTGTCACCCAGTTGACCAAGAGCTGCTTATCCGAGCCTCGCTAATCCTCGCGTCCAATATTTGACCGAGGCAGCTGAGCTCGCAAATCCGAGTGCCGGCATCGTTCCTGCGCTGTGCAACAATCTCGCAGCCATCCTTCGTCGCTATCCTTCCGCGTGCGGTGTACAGAATTGGGTCGCTTCACCTTCCATTGCAATTGGCCGCTCATTTCCACCAATCTACCTCGTTTCATTCGCGCGACTCATCGGCGAACCTTGGCTTCCAGCTGAGCTACGCCCTCCACACTCTTTTCCTCGGCGCAGGACCAGTCAGTGCGATCGCATAGGCTCGGCGCAAAGTCATTCAAGACCGCTTCAACAGACGGTCAGCTCATCCGGTTGTCGACTCCACCTGCTAACCTTTTCACAGCGTCCAAAAATCGATAGCGCCTCATTCAGCCTTGTAAGACTTTCCGAGGGTGTTTCGGCAGGCCATCAGGTCATCTCGCCAAACGAGGCCGACTCTCGGCTCGATCTGGTCCCTTTCTAAGAAGCCACGCGGCCTTTCGAGCCAACATGATAGTGGTGGATCAACTGGGGGCGGTGCTCTCTGCCTTACGCCATGCAATTTGGTATTGGTATTGTGCGATATGGCGAACGTGGACCGCAATGATCTTGCTGGCTGCGCCAGGTGAGTGTCTGCACGGATCTGGGGTACCGAGGAGCTGGAGTCGCTCCAAAATGTGTGCGACAAGAAAGCGCCTGCAAAGAGAGAAGCCGTTCTCGTGTAGCAGCTTGTTGATCGCCTGCGCCTCCTTCATAGTGACCATCCTCTGCTGCACGCTGCTCTACCTTATGGTCTCGACCGGATCATCTAGACAGATTGCCTCCCTCTACGAATTCAACGAAGGCTTATCCAACATGAATGAGGCGGAATTTGAGCTGGAGTCGGACGAGTACGAGTACGAGGAAGATTCAGACGCCGAGCCTTCGAACGGCAAGCGGCCTCTGAGGCGCGCGTACAAGTTTGGAAGCAACGACAGCGTGATTCGCAGGCGCAGTAGTCAGGTTCGCATCACCAGCAATGACCCTCGCTCTAGACTGTGCATCTCTCCGATACACCTCGACTTGGATGAGCGGGGCAGAAGCGGTGCGATGACACTTGGCTCCATGCATAGGGAAAATGGATCCCCTCACCAGAGAGGGAGGCGCGAGTCTGGAAGATTGGATCCCCACGCAGCAGCGCAAGCCCTGGCACGCTCGCCAAACGGCGAAAGCCCTTCCACCGGGGGAGACAATAGCGCCACCTCGTCCAGGAGGTCGTCCGTATACGGTACTGACGACGGCTCCTCTACCACGTTTGCGGCGGCTGCAGCTGCTGCTGCTCTCGGTGTCCCACCAGCATCACATGCGCCATTGCAGACTTCGGCGGCGAGCGCAGAGGTTCCAACTCCATCCTCTACTGGGCCTGAGCGACCGCCGAGGCTGCGGCCCGTGGCGTCAGACGGGTCGTTCAAAGGGAACCCTTTGACTACACCTACACTTCTGAATGATTCGAACCTCGACGAACCTAGATCTAGCGATGAGAGCGGACCGCTTTCACC